GTTTATTTGTGTGTTTTATTTTTTGTTGTGATGCATTTTTCCTTTTTTAACAATCTAATAAATCTCATCTTAGTCACGAGTACTAATGGGAGCGGTTGACACTAGAAAAATAAATAAAACGTGTTATTATTAATGTAATTTTTGTCATGAGTGTGAGTTCTGTCAAAATTAAGTATGTACTTGAATTACATACTAAATATTTAATATATTTCTATAGGATATAAGTGTACTTACAAACTATAGTAGTCCTGAAAAACCTTATCAAAGAAACAATCTGCTTCGAGATTTCAATCTAGCGCCTATTTCGGCGAGAATGTGTACATTGTGAATGGCATAACATTTTCATGAAAGTAACATACTTCAGGACAAAGTAGGTGCTTATTGTCCGACGCACATTTTCACCTTCCGCAGAGATGTAAAGCCGCGTTAAATTTAATACATCCCTAGCGCGTGGTACCTACGCACAAGGTATACGTATAGCGCCGCATTCTTGTATAAATATCCACCGCTGGCGTCATTGTTTTAAGTAAATTCTCTTTTGGATGACCGAATTTTTCAACTAGGTCATCCCTTAAAATTAGATGGTCCACGCGGACCCTCATGACCACACCACTGCTCTAATGTTCTACAAAGATAGCTCAGATCGATATCTCAATATGGACCGTCTGTTTCGAACAGTGCAAATAGCGAGTTGACAAGGGGAAAGATAAAACTTCTAAGTAAACCACGAGACCACTTTGATGTCGGCTATACATAAACAGTGATGCGTGAACAAGGCGATATTTTCAACGTCAAGTTTTCCCTAATACCTAAGTACACCAAAAGGAACTCATAAAAAGGTTCCAGGAAAATATTTGTTAAAAACGGTGAGCGCCGTACGCCGTTTACCCGCCTTGATTAACGCACAGATATCTGATGTTTTCCTTCCTTTCTGGGCCTACCTCTTACCTGTACCACTACGTAAACGTTTCTCCCCATTAACATAATTTATTAGAAATAGTAAGGCAAACTACCCTCTGTAACGAAGACTAAGTCTTGGTAATTGCGAACTAGACATTTATGTCAGGACTTGTTACTAAGCAAGTATCAAATAACACGCTAGTTACTGGTGTTCCGTTGTGGAGATTTGATTTTATTTTGTTAGCCTAGCGACTGAAAGCGAGAGTGTTACAATACTATGTAGTACTTGATTTAGATTGACAAGCCTGTTTGCGCACTTTTTAGTAGCTAACTGAAAATCTTGATTTGAGTTTGAGAACAAGACCATATACACAAATAGACGATATGTAGATATTATCTATGGCATTGGCAACAAGTCAACCTCCTCTGTACAGTAAATGTACCTTCTACCTACCTCTACTAATTACTATAATCATAAAACTATACTCTGGATGATTTTTGATTTTAAATCGAGTCGTGAGGTGTAAAATATAATGTCGATGAAAACAAATATCCGATAAGTCGAGGTTAATATTTATGTGAGGTAATAACGTATAGGTTTACTTTAAAATACTGGGCTCTTTCCGACCATTTATTACACAACACGGAATATTTTGTCAAAATGTTTGTAATTAAAGATAGTTCGAATGGCTCTAATTCGATTTATGGTGTTCTCGTTGCTAAGGATGACATCATCGAGCCTAATACTTAAGCACAACATCACGCTATAAACCTGGATATATTTATTATTTGATGTTTCAGTAAGACGTTTAAAAATTTGTAAGACATAATTTGATAACAAAAAAGAAATACTACATAGATGCAATGTTAGAAATATAATTAAGAATAAATGCTTTTAATACGAACCATAATATATTTGAAAGCATAGTAGAGTGTTTTCATTTACTGTTAACTGCTCGTCCACTGTATGTGGCACTGAACATTATGCATAAAATTATACTTGAAAATAATTAATTAATAAGCTCATACATTATGCCAATGAATGGCATAAGTCAGCAAAACGTCTAAGTAAACTATCTACCGCTTAGCCGTGTCTTGGGATTAAAGTGACGTGCATGGCCACTTGGGCCCAGGTGTGAAGGAGGCTTGGTGACACAAGTTTGAGGGAGCGCTCGTAAACTATTAGCTAGCATATTTAAAGTTGTTAAGTATTCAAATTAAACTGTTGTGACCCACCTAAGCTTAAGCTTTTAAACAAATCTCCTGGCTCTTCTCATTTTATTGTTGACGTAGTTTCCTCCTTTTAATGTTTTGTTATCATTCGAATTACTCGCGTTTAATGTAGAAAATATTAATTTAGTTGTTACAAAAGATAAACGAAAACTATTACCTTGATTAGATCTGGATTTTGATTTATCAACAGAACGATACATATACAAACATCTAGAACCAATTTAATCAGATTTTCCGATACTCTCCCTTACAGGAAATGAGACGGAGTTACAGATAAAAATAAAGCTGCAGAGTTTAAATGGAAAACATCAAACTGTTTCAGTTCGAAGTGAAACTGTGTACCTTAAATTGTCAGTGGATAGTAGATACACTACATTAAGTTTATAGAACATCGAAGTAAGTTAGTGAAGCTATGTGAAGTTTCATAACTATACCGGGAGGTACATCCCGCTCACAAATATTTACGTCATTTTATGATTCTTACAAGAAGATAAACATCAAATATTAACGTACTTGTTTTACAAACTCCATGTTACGCCCTCAAATCTATTCAATTTTATGCTCATGCTCCGCGTCGCGAGTATTTTGTACGAATAAAATAGGGGAACTTGGAAAGAATTGCGGCGGTAAATCTTTTTAGTGCAATAAAATTGAATGCCGACTGAATGAGATGTAAACGAGTGTCCTGACGATGGCGCCCGAAATGAACTCAAACGTGCACAATTTTATGATCTCCCGACCCTACTTACAGTCCCAATAAGCCATTGTTTTAATTATAATTATGATATTCTCGTTTTGATACAAGCCTGCTTTACTACGCTTAAATGAAACTCGGTCAGAGTTTCATGAAACATGAAATAATGAGAATTGTTATCATTTACTATGCAAAAAATTGACTTCTAGCAATGAATTAAGATGAACATAAATTTAGATATAATTGGACAGACATAATAATAAACAGAGTTATGTATCCAGCTTAGGTTAATCATTCTGTGGGAGTGAAGTGAAGAATGTTGGTGCGCCAGTCACGCAGTACCCTCGGCCTTACATACGCACTGCTGAAGCCATTTTGTTACCTTTGCAGCCTTATTATACATGTACTTATGTAAACCTACACTGGTATTTATGGTATACATTATTCACCGAGTCCTTTATACCTATTTATAATAACATCTATATATATGTAGATCCACGTATATCGACTTCCACATGGACCTTTCGTGCAAAAAGCGTGAATATCATAATGTATAAATAGATGAAATTATCTATGAATATAATGATTTTTATGAAATTTCTAAATAAACGATATTCTCTTAATGCAAGCGTGTCATGTTTATTATTGGAATGAATTATTATAAGATTTAAAATGAAAAATATACAGCATGCAGATGCCCACCAACCAGCCTAAATAATACTCGTTTTGAATGGTAATGTGTGATTCGATTATCATCTATATTCCGTTTAAGTGAATAAACAAAGGCTCTCTACTGACACAGCAATCAGATAAGACTAATTTATGTATTCATCACGCGTTATCCAATTTAGTAATTTGAGCATTTTAAATAAAAAGCAGACGTCTTTCCATCTAAGTTGTCTTTGTTCGTAGCGGGGTGAATGGGTACGAGCGGTAGAAAGTTTAATATAAACGTCAAGTGCACCGCTTGAAGCTCTATTAGAAAGTTATATAATTTTGTGTGAACATCAAAGTGACCAATATTATCCCCTTTGAAGATTCACGTGAACCCTGTAAACCTTTACTCTCTACTAGATACTTTTACTTCTTGTGTTAGTTACACGCTTCTAAACAGAAAGCCCCTTTATATTGTTCAATCTAATATCAAACAGTTATTTGTTGAATTTTAGCTTTTACAGGACAATATTATAATATAAACAAAAGCAACGGGGTATCCATATCCATACAAAACGAACACGGAAGACACGCTAGATGAAATGTCATGGAATTTGAACGAAGAGGAAGTTGGATATCCGGTTAGAATGCAAGTTACTGTATACCGGAACTAAATACCAACTCCAAGGGAGATTAAAACAACATTTAACATGAGCGACGTCTGGGGTAAACACAAACCTCTACCTAAAAGTGTTTATTTCGTAATGAGTACCTGAGATTTCAATGGAAATTATGTGCATATTGTCAAGCAATAACTTCAGGGCTTCCATTTTATCATCCTTTGAAATGATCACATAGTAAAAATCACATTTAAATGTTAAATGACACCAATGTAATGTTACCTACAATTTAAACATCAAAGTTTTCATAACAACAAACATGTACTAGCACAAGTCGTGTCTATACTCGTAGGAATTAACAATATTAATATTTAAAATCATTAAGAATGATTGTGTTGAAACTAATGATTTTGTCTGTTAACTACAGCTAATTATTACATTGGCACTCATACTTCAACAATACCTACATAACTAAAATGTATATGAAGTATCTAGATAATGAAGGCTTTCATATAAAAAGAAAAAACATGATGAACACATATTTTTTTCATTTGTTTTAACTATACATATATATGAACGAATTACGATACAATTTAATGTCATTATGGAAACTTTACTGATGCTTAGTAACAGAGTGACGGACGTTCAATCAAAATAAAACGAGATGAATGAGTAAATTATATTAAAACAAGTTCACTTTCACAAACAAGAATGTTACATAAATATATCACAAGTATGTACAAACTGAACACTACGTTATGCAGTTGAAGTGACATAATACGAGCACTACAAACAAATCAGCGTGAAGACGGTCCCTAGCGGACCGCGGCAAGATCATGCGGGAGAGGGCCGGAGGATGCAAGCGAGCGGAGCGGGCGCGGGCAAACAACGACACGTACGTGGGCGTGCGGCGAGGTGATCGCGCGGCACAGGCAGGCGTGCGCCGCCGGCGCCACCTGGTAGTCCATGTAGTTCCCGTAGCCCATGTGGTCGCAGGTACAGGCACAGTTCTCGATGTGCCGTCGCAACTCCAGCTCGAGCTCCCACGGCGGCTCCATGAGCGCGTCGAGGCGGGCGGGCGCGCGCCGCGGCGTGCCCGCGCCTCCGCGCGCTGCGAATGCGGCCCCGGGCCGGGCGCGGGCCGCACCTGCGCGACGCCACCTGCCTCCCCGCCCCCCGCCTGGCGCGCTCCACCATACACCGGCGGCTAGCGCGCGGAGGCGCCGGCGACGCGGCCCTCACAGCGAGCTTGGGGCCCTACCCCCGGTGAGCGGCGAACCGCGGCTCGCGCGGACTCTCGCGTGTTGGCGCGCATAGCGTGGCGGCCGCCTGCCGGCTGGGGAATGCCGCGCCGCGAGCTCGACCGGGCGCGAGACCCGGGCGGCCCGGCCGCGCCGGCGCCCCGAGCTCCACGTGACAGCCCGCGCGCGCCTCGTCCCCCGCTACCCGAACCGAGCCAAGCCCGTTGTGACTCTCACCGCCGGACACGTCTTTCAGATGCACAATCATCAACCATCAATTAACTCCACAGCGACGACGTAGGTACGTTACACGGAAATTGAATACCCGATTACGTGGAAAATAAACCTGTGGTACCTACAGAGCATTGAGCATGGGTTTGAATAAATGCAATCGTATTCGTAATCGTGAAAGTTTTTAAAGTACATAAAACTTGTAGGAAATCTATAGGTTATAGAACTAAGGACCTAAATAATAGATAGAAATTAATTGTTCGGTTATTTATATCTTCTATCTATATCTAGGTACTAATAATAAATCGGAAGAGAGGTCAATTCTGTGCATTAAATATATTTTCAAAAAATCTTTCAGGGGGTGATAAGTGATCGATACTGGTGCCAAAAATGTAATCTGTAAAACTTTTATCTGTCTGTCTGTATGCTCCTTATAGAAACAAGAACTATTCGACAGATTTTAACGAAACTTGGTACAAAAATTTTTTTATATACCTGGGCAGGTTAAAGGATACTTTTCATCACGCTACAATTAATAGGAGCAAAGCAGTGAAGGGAAATGTTGGGAAAACGGGAGAAGTTACTACTCCATTTTTTTAGCTTCTATTTTTTCAGCCTTAATGGTTAAAGTTATATACATTACATGTTCTACATAAAATTATCTACAAAATATCCTACTTACAACAATATATGTCTATATTTCATGGTTGATTGACAATAACGCGTGTAACTCGTGATAACTTAGCAGTTCGGAGCATTTTGATTATATTTGTTAACTCTTACGTTTACAATACTCTCACATATCCCTAATTGAAAAAGATTACATTATAATTTATTTAATAAAAAAAGAATAATAGAAATCGATATATATGGCCATTTAGTAATTTTACGCTCTCCTTTTACATGTAGTCCACATATAATAACATCCATAAATTAGTGGAGAAATTTAGTTTCAGCATCGCACCCGTGCGAAGCCGGGGCGGGTCGCTTGTTTATTTAAATATAAAGTTATAATGTTTCTTTGATCAAAGATTGATTCAACAAGCTATCGTGAGATTTTACTGAAATAATAGGTACTTGTAAAGGGATACCTATACCCATCTTAATTGAAAATTTTTTAACTCAATATGATAAACTGGCAATTACTTGGACATTTTAACATGCGTAATGTAATGACAATAACTGGGTTATTGGAAGCGTGGAGCTGGTTACTCAATGCCATGTTTTATATAATATATACGACAAGCTTTTGCCCGCGACTTCGTTCGCGTGGACTTCAGGTTCGTCCCGTCTAGTCTAGTAATAAGTAAGAAATACAAAAAATGTGTTTTTGACGACCTCACATTAGAAATCTCAAAAATTGTAGCCTATGTGTTATTCAGATGTATGTGCTATATTGTGGTAAAGTTTCATTCAAATCTATTCAGTAGTTTTTAAGTGAAAGAGTAACAAACATCCATACATCCATACTTACAAACTTTTGCCTTTATAATAGTAGTAGGATAGGATGTGGTGTTATCGGCCAGTTTACGTATGAGTGCGGTTATAAAGTTAAATGTGAATCTCGCGTTGCGGTTTACTTTGCTAGCATTTAGAGCACGCAAGTATGTGTTACATGTCATAATCACAATCAAATCAGATCTAACTTTTTAAAGATATATATTATTTAATTTAATTTTTATATAAAACACATAAAATACTTAGGTTTTATGATATAAACGTAATGTTTGAGTCTTATAGCCTCTTCCCAGCTCGTGTTTAATGAATGAAGTAAAAGTTTAATGAACTATAAAGGGCTCAAATAAAAGCGTTTTCATTTTAACAACATGGTTACTAAGTTGTATTACTTCGGGTAATTTATTTACTCATTCGATTTTAACTTATGAGTCGAGATAAAGATAAAGGAGTACAATTTTTAGTCATTACATGCAATCGGTTAGTGAAGAGTAGGTCCTTATTAAATTTCCTTAAATACTTTTCTGTTAGATCACAATTTGTATCAGATTTAAATATAAAAAAAATTAAATGAATCTTCGACTTTATCATGGTCGTAGTGTACATAATCTTATTTACCTAAGGAAGATCTCGCAGATAACTAGAACAATGTAGTGCAGTTTTATTAAAATATATTCTGTGAGTATTTCTTGTAAATTATTTTTTATTTGTTGTTATTATAATTGCTTTGGTATACAGTACGTGTCTGGACGACCAAGGGCATAAAGATTTTTTGTTTAAATTTGATTAATTTGATTGATTTTTGTCAACTAAACAATTAAATACTTACACAATTTCATCGAAATCGTTCCACTTTTGGACATGCGCCAATTGCCCAACAACAAAGTATTAGATAGATTAATTTTATAAAATTCCCTTACAATTGATAATATAATAATAATTGGCTATTATTTTGTTAATTCAGTACACCGGCTATCCCAATCTATTTATGGCAATCATCTCCGTAATCATTAATCACTCGGATCCGCGCGGCTCGCAGCAGTGAAGCATCATCTGTACAATTCTCAAGCATCGTAATTTTTATTAACGGAATTAGGACGCAGGTGGTCTGGAGCTGAGAGGCTGCATGCGTGCGCAGCGGCCGCGGCTCGGGGCGGCTGGCGGCGCGCGGCAGTCGGCATGAGGCGCGCGAGGAGCGTCACGGGGCCCTTGCGCCGCGCCCACCCGGCCTCGGGCGCCACCTGGAACGTCCAGGTACCTCCAATTGCACTTCTAATCCATCCTGTCCCCGCGTCCACTGACACATTACATTTCACGCTCTTCTTAATTCATCTCAGACCCTGCACTCACCAGGACAGTTCAGCTCGGAGTCTGTGTAATTTAATCACCTCGAGAAAATTATAGCTGATGGCTGGAGTTCAACAGTTGGCTAAGAACTTGTTGCACGATGAACTCTGATCTTTGAATACGTTTAAACGATTACCATCCACTTAAATGCCGTTTAGAATAGGGATAATAAATCTTTCGCCGAGGAAATACAAATCGGAATAAATATTGATTTCATAATCAGTTTACAACAACAGGTCCACCATGTTTACGAAAGATATTATGCAAATATGTCATCGGAGATAAACATTACAGTATATCCTATCGTTCGTATTATACAGTTATGGTACATCTGCTCTCCTTTTTCTACGTGGACTTCCAACAAAGCTGGGTCTCCATCCGTCTGTTAAGCTAATATTATAATGTGTATTTATTTACTTTGGCGAATCGTGAGATAGCGTCAGAGCTGAATTTGTGTCGAGTACGTGACAGCCGCTCGTGATATCCGCGCGCACTCACATTTTGTTTTCAGTTTCATTATGTCTATGTTTAACCGCACAATGGAACTAAATAAATATTACGAGTGATGTGAACTTAATTTGAAAATACACGAACAATAAATAAACTCCAACAAATTGTAAAGTGTAACTGAACAGAATATTTATACGTATATATTTTCATTTGTAAATATTCAGGTGGTGAAGGGCAAGATGAGCTCGACCTGTTTATGGCACGCCTGCAGAGCACTATCAGCTGGCTTACTGCTGATGCTCCTTGGAGCTGCCATGGCTGTAATAGGTAAGTCAACATATACTTGCAAAATAAATAAATGATAAATACATTTTATCGTTATAATCAAGCAGCCTCCATTTATTTCTGTAAATAAACTTCAATAACCTCTTCAATTATGACTGCACGGTTGGCGCGATGATTGGGCAACTGGCTGCCGCGCAACGTGTCACGGGTTCGATTCCCGCACGGAACCACTCTTTGTGTGATCCACAGATTGTTGTTCCGGGTCTGGGTGTGATGTGCATGTGAAATAGTATGTTTGTAAACGCACCCACAACTCAGGAGAAAATCCTAATGTGGGGCAAAGTTTTTATATAAAAAAAAAGTAAATAACACGCCACTGATCTTGGAGGACGAAAGCTACTACACATATCAAAAAAATAAAATTAATATAATGAAGAAATCATATATTTCAAAATCTTATTATTTTGAACGTAACATAAAATATGCCATCGTTACTTTCTCTACATTTTAGCAAGTTATTAAACGTATTCGTTCAGCTCCTTATTTCGGACTGTTGAGTTGAGTTTAGAAGTCCTATTGATTTTAAACTATATTTGGTAAAAAAACAAAACAAACACCACAACTATACAATATATCCATAACGTGTAATGGCAATTTTGTATTTGTCAGTATTCACCAGAAACAGTACTTATCTCAAGTAATATTGGATGCTCAGATATATATTTTGAATTTCAGATTCTGTACTTTTATAAATTTGAGCAAAACTCAGAAACCAGTTCGTTCGGACCATTAGACCTAGACCTGTTGCCGTATACATACACAAAGCGATATAATCAAAAAATAAAATAAAATTTTAATAAAAGTCTTATCACCATTGGTCTTAGCAAACCTCACTCCTGCACCGGCACCGTCCTCCTTCAAATTATCGAACTGAATCTCGATCTTTATCACTTCCAGCGGAAATTATTTACGCTATCGGGAACGTTTTTTCCTCTAGCCAAATACAAAATAATTTCTTTGTAATGTGTGAAGATTGACTTTGATTCTGTTGAACAATCCAAAAAGTGGTTAAGTAAACTAAAAATGTCGTTTGAAAATATTAAAATTTAATGTGAAAACTGACAGGTTATCGGAAAAAGTGTTATCAATTCTGCTACTTTTCCAGAGCTTATACATAATATCGTAACATTAATGCAACAATGCCTTGACACGTCTCTCGTTAACGCTGCGGGACAGTCATCCTTAGACGAAAATCTCGTATCCTTCACACGTTTACTACATCGACTTCGCAATACGTGCCATTTTTCCATTCACGGCGTCGACGAGCCACAACCCGTCAGTAACAAAGCGATAGGGGCGGTAAACATACATATGTAACGTACGTGTTGCAATGTATGGTAAGCTTCCGTCGTCGGCGCACGTGACGGCCCTGACGCTTCCGTCTGCAGCCTCCGGTCTCTCGCGTCGTTCCTACTTATTGATGAAGCTGCCGTACACCATACAAGCGTCCCGAGCTATTGTTGTTACTGCGATCCATTTACTGGTTGCCGTCAGTACATACGCTGCATTTGTGTTGTTTTAATTAGAAAACATATTTGTATACAGGGCAGATATCTATACTTAACATTATAAAGAGATAAAATTTGTAAGTTTGTATGTTTGTATGTATGGGATAAACTTTGGAACCCCTGGTCAAATTGCCAAAATTCTTTCACTGATAGGTAGACACAATGTTTCTGAGTGCTATAGGCTATTAAAACTTCACGCTACGATCAAATGGAGCCGAGCAGCGCGCAAAACCAAGAGTAACTAGTCACACATATATGATGAATAAATATATACTTATCATGAAAAAAAAAGTAGGTCTTCTCTGATTTATTTCTCTTACATTATCGATTCGTTTCTTTTTTAATTGGGTAAAGAAGCTGTTGTTTTGCCTTCAAGTGGGTAAGTATAAGTATTTGTATATAAAAGATTAAATTTCAAGATGGTTGCCATGCCTACGAATACCTACCTAATTGCTTAATTGGTCCATAATCCGTTTTGCAAAATACTATGATGATTTTATAAGCCTTCTTAAAATTATTCTGCTATATACATAGGTATTTCCTTGTGTGATGTGATAAGACTCAAAATCGATTGGATAAAATAATGTATATTTTCTAATTATAGCAAAGATTAATCCTCTTCGTCCTCCATAAATTAAGGATGTTTCTTAACGTTATACTGATTTATTATAAAATAAATACTAAGGCAATTCGGTACTTTTTACTGATCGAGTGTGTACTAACCAGCCTGCAACTTACCGGCTGCATTATGATCCTACGTGTAATCAATAATATTAGGAACAAATTTTGATCTGTAAAAGCTACAAATGGAGCCCGTTCGACCTATCTGCAATTGAGATCAGTTCACTGAGACAGAGATCCTTATGATATTCCTGCTTATTAATATGATGCTTACGGTTAGGTTAGGTTAGGTTAGGCCATTGTTGTTTTTTTTTATATTTTAGACTAGCCAGTCCATCGTCCAGATAGTCCCATCCACTGCTCAACTCCATTTCTTCGTAGCATGATATTTCACAATCCATGGCACTCAGTAATATTGTAGAAAGAATTTTGGTAATCAGACCAGTCGTTTCAAAGATTACCTCCTACATACAAACTTACAAATTACAAAAGGCAATGTCCCAATTGGCCCTGTCCAATAAAGGTTATCCGAATACACGATAATTAATGGTATATTTTATTATATAATTTGTCAATGTTTTTTTTAACACGGACTAGTTGTTTTCCAAAATGTATATTTATTACTATTTTACGCGATTAGTAAAATACGTAGTACTTATATTCTCATTGATTGGCACCTATAGCTAATTTCATAGGTAGGTACACTGTTCTAGCGTAAACTGCTTATATTAAGCTCATTCTAAAAGGAATTCAGGTATTGATGTAAATTAGTTTCGAATAAATGACTCACTTTGACGTCAAAAATAAAACTGTAAAGGTACCTTATTATCTAGACAGGTCCTAAAAATAGCACAGTAATAGTTAATTAGCTTGGTTCTCAAATGTTACTCAGAACTATGAAAAAGTATTCTTAAAAATCGTTATTGTTGTTAAATTATAACCTCAAAATCTGATTCTTTTTATGTATATATTCTGCAGCTAGTCCGCTATAAAAATAAGATCGTATCGAAGGTAACTAATGATAGAGACTACAATACATTATTTTCCAATGCTCTTGGCTCCAGGGCCAACAGCAAAGGAACGCAGAGCAATGTCCTTTTTCCTTTTTGTAATATTAGTACGGATAAAGTGAATTGTGTGAATTTTATTTAAAGGGTACTACGCAGACCAGCTGTCAGTGGCGCAAGAGATTCGCGGCAACGCTACCATCTCTGTGAAGGACGAAGCGAGAGGCTTCCACCTCAACAACCTCTCGTATGCTGGACCAATTGTTATGGGCTTTGGAGGTAAATCATGCCAAATATTTGCTTCTTCCCTCTATTTAATGTTTGTTATAATATAAAATTTAAACTAAAATATAATTTTTATACTCCACAATCCTGAAAAAAAACTGTTAAATATCTTATTCTTAGTCATACTTTATGCTACGCCGTAGCACTGCTACGTGGTCGTTGCGCTACGACATCGTAGCTCATGACGTAGCACGTAGCACATCGTACAGCTTCGCAATCGCAACAGCTACAATCTCGCTTTTCAACGACCCTCTTTTTTTAGTTATAAGGGCGGCGGGGGTAATCGGCAGGTGTACTAAGAGCCCCACATTATCAATCTAGAAATTTAGATTGTTTTCTTACTAATAATACTAACTCAGTTTATCTACAAGTACAAGACTAGTATAGACCCGACCAGTAAACTCATAATTTATTTATTTCATATTATTTTGTTTTGTATTGCTTATTTGAAAACAGTGAAGTAAAAATGCGTTTGTTACCTCTTTAACTGACTTATGAATGAGCTAGCCGTTTTAGTAGCGGTAAGCCCCACTTCGAGGAATGGCTAGAGATATACGCCACGGCTTCTTCACCTTTTGCCTGACCAGATACAGAAGTTACGAGAAATAGCTGTTTCGGATCTGGAGAGGATACGCCCGGGTGTCGTTACTGTGAGGACTACCCAGAGCACATGGTGTAGCATACGATGGCGTACCCGTGCGATGTTCCCTGCTAGGGTCTGCACCATCATCATCCTACGAGAAATGATTGGCGGCGGCGCCCTCTTATGACCAGCCTTAGTCAAAACCCTGGTGCAGAGCGAGAGGAACTGGCAAGCCGTTTTCTCTTTTTACGAAGTTGTCATGGTCGCAAAAAGGAGACGGAGTGCGTGAGATGTGAGAAGGTGAAAAATCATCCAATGACTTCTCCTGGTCATGGAGAGCAGGTGTTACATGGTTACTGACTAAAAACCACTCTGTTCTTTCTCCTACTCCGAGCTATGCGTCCGACATCGTCGCGATCTGTCAGGTTGATCCAATGCCGACCAACCAATACACGGTGGTACTCACCCCAGGCTTTTGGCACCATCACCTTGTGCTCCACCGTGTCCCTGTGACAATAGTGCGATTTATTGGGTCCTAACTACCATAACTAGGTCGTCTTTGTGGGTGGTTGTTGACGTTACTTGACTTCCATTCGAGGATCTCTCTACCACATTGACCGTCAGTTCTCCAATATATGTGCCCCTTCCACTACTTCAACAGGCAAATGCGCTGGGCTACGACTGCCACTAATTTTATTTGCACCAAAATACCGAGCATGACATGAAAATCGATCACGCCCAATTTTTCAAATTGGGCAAAATTAAAATCGGTTTATGTTTAGGATTTATCGTGGTGGCGGCGTGTGTGATGACATTCGAGGCGAGGGACAGTGCAGCGAAGGTGACGCCGGCGAGGCCGCAAGCGTTGCCTCGACCGCTGCCGCGACGGGGGCCAGCGTGCGCTGCGCCTGCGCGGCTGGACCAACTCGGCGTATACCGGCTGCCGCACGTGCTACCACTGCCGCATGCACTGCCACTCGCCCCCCTACCGCACCGCCACCGTCCCACACATCACAGGTAAATATTATACTTTTCAAAGTCAAACAAAACCATCACCGCATTTAAGTTGTTGTAGCTAGCGATAGTAATTGTTTTTAAATGGCAATATTGAATAATATGTACCTAAGTATGTTTACCAACTGAAAACAATTTTACTCCTCTAGCTACAAAGTGACCATATCGAAATAAAGTCTGTATTATGTTCGATCCATTAAGTATCACGTTATTTAAAATTTGTTCTATGTGTACATATTGTAGCTTGATGGTAATAGATTTCAAATGGCGTAGTTATGTTAACCTACATTTATAAAGTCCTATTTAATATCCTTATTACATAAACCAATAGTGTAAAGAAACGTTTAATAGCTAATGAATAAGGACTTTATTAGAGTGTGGATTAAAGGCATTATAGATTCAAATTTAATACGCAAAGTATCGTATGAATAATGCAAGTTAGCAAGATATGGAAGAAAAATTAACCGGGAGTGTAAGCTCGCGCCATCTATAACATCGCCATTAGGACAGGCTGTAGATACCCAATCACCCAGTCCCGTAGCTATTTGCCGCTTCAAAGTCTCAGTCACGCTCACAGTTTTATCCATGCCATTGCTTACCGTTCGATAACGCAGCAGTAAACCAACATTTAACTATCAGCAAATTTTAACAAGAGAATATAAAAAAACACGGGAACAATTTTCGTGGAATAATAGGTTTTCTCTCGTGGGAAAGTGAACGATCATTGAGGTGGGCGACACATTTTTTGATATATCGATATTTGGAAACGTTTGGTATTGCTGACGCCATTGTTGGCAAGAGACTGGGACGATGATGAGGGCAGGCAGTATATATGACACAGAACTGGTGGAGAGAGAGGGAAGGCTCGGGCTCGGTTTGGGTCGGCGCCCGACCTGCATAGCGCCAGTACCCGCGCCGCCATGCCAGTCAGTGCGCTGCGCCGGCCGCTGCGCCGCTACGCCCTCTCCGTAGACGAGCCCCCGCAATCAGCAGTTAGGTAATTCACATGTCTACATCGTTCAACGCTATTTTTCACTACCTTCATTTTGTTTTGTCATTTCAGCTTCGTTATTCTTACCCTTGTCTGGTACCTAGCTTGTAATTGTTATAACATTTCTCAACACTGTACTTGTATTTTCAAAAAGTGTCTATTTAGAATTACTACAATTGAAAATTTTTCTCTCATGAAAATTAATTAAATACAGTTTTCTTTTATATTATGAGATTTATTATTTTAATTCGTGTCATAATGGCCTTTTGTTTATATATTGAGTATTTAATTAGTGCCAGTGCAGCTGAGTCTGAGTGTGGGTCGCAGTCGTCGCTTGCACTAGACCTGCATGGCAGTGGCGCATGCGCAGGCATCACATTGCGCGTGCGGGACAACACGCGGCGGCGGCCACTCGCGCGCCAGCAGCGACTGAGAGACGACACTGTTCATCGTAAGTAATTTAGTATCAGTAACACGTACATTGTTGAAGATTTATAAAAAATCACTTCACTGTCATCATCAGCCGGAAGACCACCATTGCTGAATTTGCCTACCCCTTAGTCCTCCATGTCGAGCGACCACTTGCCACTTGCAACCATTGGCTCCCTGCGACTTTGACTCTGGATGTCGTTAGTCCACCGAACGAGAGGCCTGTCAAAGCTTCTTTTTCCGAATTAAATTTTCACTTATCACTTACAATTTAGCTGTGTTGTATTAATTTTATTTTAAATTTTAGCTACTCCGGTGGCGAGTATCAACAACATAAATAATATAGAAGAATCCATATTCAGGCATGTATCCATTTTATTATTAGTATTTTATTTTACTAATATGCAGTGCTTTATGCACAACAGTTCAATTTAAGCTAGGAAACAATGAAACAATGAAAGAATGAATGTTACAGTCAGGTCCTACTTATTCAGAATCTAAACGAATTTTATAAATGAGATTTTTTTATTGAATTCCAAAAATGTAAAAGTCATAATTTCTGTCTTTTGTCTCAATTTCAGGTCGGAAGAGGAACCTGACAGCAAAAACCCAGTTGAAATGCATTTATGTGTGGAGCAAGAGGAACGTGCGAGCAGTGCGCCGCCTGCACCGCCGCCACTGTCGTCACCGCCGCCGTCGCCGCGGCTTGTCGTCACCTCGTGCTTTCCTGAGCCTCCAAGCACACCGCCAGAGACCTGCATTGTCATCGAACCCGCGCAAGAAACACTAGAAGACGATGTCGAGCATAAATGAGAAACGCTTCAGTCTCGCAGTGACGAGACAAACCAACAAGTTACAGAAGTGAACGACGCCTCTTGTTAATACTTTTTGTATGAATTATACAACGTTTTTCAGTTACTTCGAAAGAATAATGTATTGTACAAACATACATTTACTTACCGAGTTTTCGATGTGTCTTCATAAAACGGCGACAATTAGTATCTATTTTTAGACCCACTATTGTAAGGTAATGTAGTTGGTTTATACCTATGCGCATTTACGCAAACTAATATGACGAAGATGTAAGCCTACCAACGGGCTATCATAACATCTTTCAATCTAAATATTATGGTGCCGTAGCAAAGAAAATATTTGTAAATGTTTGTACGATTACCTATATGTATAGAAAGATGTGTGTTGCAATTAGAAATCATATCGATTAAGTAAAAAACATTGTAATTTGCCACAGTACCAACTTAATCAATCGCGGTACTATGGAACATAATTTCTTTACGTACAAATGCAAGCACAAAAACAGACTGTAGATAGTACCTAAGTATCCGTAGCACTGCAAGAGTTGGCGTAGATTGTCGTGTTCTGCAACCTAAGGGTTGTTTGTCAAGTACTTTTTGATTGAGATAAGGTGTTATCTTATAAATGTAAGATGTTATTGAAGGCCTACACACCGCCAATGTTCCGACGACTTATAGTACAGCTAGCGTCATACATAGGGACATTCAGGGCACTCAATTATATAAACGCAAAATAATCAGCACAGTTACAATCAACAGTATTTAAATGTCCCTAATATTTGACGCTGACCGTAAAAACATAGATTGCAATAGACGGAAGTAACAGTCTACATAACATTCAACATCGATAATTTGTACGTATCCATCTATCTCGTATTTTAAACAGCACTACTATAATTCCATTTCATATACACTTATACTTTCATAATTATAATCACTTCAACCAACGTCATTCTAAAAACAACTTAAATGTTACTTATTAAAAAATAATGTTAATACGTTATCAATAAACTTTAATCATTTTTAATTTAATCATTCGTTATTAAATTAAAAGACTGATAAAAGCGAATTTCGTATGAAATCACATAATCTTACAATAAAATAAACGTTAAACTATTGTTTGTGGAATATTCATAAAATGTATATTTTATTCACATACGTGTCATCTATACTTATGAATAACAATATTATAATATGTATTTCTGTTATCAAAATATTTTTTTATCACCTTAACTAAATAACAACATTCTAATGAAAATAAAAGAAAATAATAAATCTTATTATTCTGCTTACCTATATGAAATACATGAAACTGTCAGAGGTTGATCACATTCCTTAATTTAAAAAAAATACTCAGTACAGTACGAACCTACTTTATAGACATGGATCCGTGTGCTAATTAAACATGTTTTCATCATATTTACCTTGTCCAAAAAGTTTTCATACGATTTAGATTAGTTAATGAAGTACTTCTATCTTAACGAAGAACCATTCATAATAATATTTGTAGTGTAGGCCCCTATTCTATAGGTACTTGTTAATTTATGTACATAGACAATACTTAAACTAAATAATAACGGAACTTATGAACTTATTGTATGTATGAAACTTATATTTTCATAGTGTGTGAGTAAACACAAAGACTTTGATTAGTACTTATTAAGTCTGTTAACATTTATATTCCGGCACGAATTTCCAATAATCTGTAGATACAGCTCAACAAGTTTTGACGTATGTAATTATATATTTTGTCATTATGTGGATGGGGTTGATAGTATAAAAGGGTAATTTGAGTAAGAATAAAATGTCGTTGTGTAGAGTGTGAGTCGGGCTCGAAGGTGTCGCTTGACTTACAATCATGATTGTTACGTCCAAGTCTATACATACATAAATGTATACAGGTATTTTACGTAATCAATGGTTCGCAAAAATGGTTTTATTTTTATTTTACTAAAATGTATTATTGTGAAAAAAATGAATGTAGGTAATTATTAAAAAACATTGTTTAAAAGATAACACTCGCTAAGGGCCTAACCTGAAGTTGTTTTTTTTTCAAATGCGATGTTAGTTAAAGAGTGTAGTAGAGCTAATGTAGTTATTGTGAGTAGATGCGTAAATATCTAAATAAGATAAATAAATAAATTGTCAAACATTGCCCCATAGTAACGTTCTTCTACGTAAATTTGCTATCGAGAATTGAAAACTTTTGATACCGGGTCATAATATTAACTGAATCTGCCTTTATTACACTTAATTTTCTTTTGGATACTTCCTACGTAAAACTTGACAATGATATTGAAAATTTATGGAATTGACTAACTTATTTCAAAGTTATTACTGATTTGAATTACTTCGAATAAGGTGCGTTAGATGTAGCATGTCAGACTACAAACATTGAGCAACGTTTTCATCGGTTTTGGTGTACAAGTGTTTCGCCGTCTTTCAAATATTTTAGCAAAGTGTGCATATATTTTTCTTCCAAAACCCGTATCATGGGTACATATATATATGTATATTATTGGTACCTACGAACCTACTTTAATACTGAGAATGATTGTATTATTTTTTTCCTGGACGTTAAAACTCTGTTCATAAAGTATTTAAGTACCAAGTATACATAAAAACTTAATCTTCTTTCTATATTTCAAATCACACACAATATACTTATTGATATTAATTTACGCAAATTTTTACTTTGACTTTTTAACAAAATCTCTCGCCTAGTCCATGTGGAATTTGTGATCTCTTTAAATCTATTTTTGTGTAGCGAATTATTACTTATGACTTTTTTGTAAAGTTGCGTTGATTTTTCAATTTGGATGGTTATTCCAGTGTAAAAAAATTAGATAAGGTACTATTTTTGACATCATGTATGATTTATAAGTCAATTAACGAGATCAAACTGGGATAATGATGGTAAAATTAGAAGTAATGATTGACACGTGGTGGGGTACACTATTGATATTAAACTAGTAGTAATGCGGTTGTTGTGATATCAAATTATCAATTAAGTAATTTATGAAGATCAACAAATATCCCGCTTTCTGTTTAAAGCAATAAGAATGACGAGACACGCAAAAAACCAACTAAATACGTAGCAATGAATAGGGTTACAACTTTGTCAGCAATTATGACGTTATACATGACAATTATCAAATATCGGTTATGAAAATTATCAAGATATCCCTAAAAGAACTATGTTAGGTAATCTGAAGCTTGTATTGCCGCTATACTGAATCTTTCGTTTAACAAGTTTTTTGTAACATTGATATTCCTTTTAAAATTGGCCCCGGTGTTGTTGGGTTTTACCCGATAGAAGTAAGACGTGGTAGAGTCCTGAATTGTTATGTAAGTAACCAGTACTGGAGCATTTGAGATGGTAGTGAGTATTTAATAAGATTGGAAAACGCAGTCACATTGGGACTGAAGATTGGGAATATTATCTAATTGTACTTTTGTATTATGATAAACTTTAAAAACGTTTTATACGATCTGTAATTGTATAGAATCCTTGTATATAGTACTTAGTTATTATTTTATAAAATTAGCAATGTGTACTCGATCCAAATGGTTGTTGTGATGTCTATTAAAATTGTTGATTATTTATTTCGTTTTATTTGATAAACCACAACTCCCTTGAAGATTACATTACAGTTATCAATTATCGTATGAATTAATAACTATAAAATCGACAACGTGTTACATTCACCATTATTGGTATTCAAAATTAGTTAATGTTGAGTAGGTCATATGTTTATGCTCTTTATTAATTTATAGAATTTATCTCATCGCGATCGTTAATAATAAGAAGCAGCAAGCTAGCATTTTCTATACAGCGGCAACGGTGCGATACGAAGCTTGTTTAAACAGCCAGTATTCATAATTATAATTAGTTACCTCGAAGCCCCACGTTGGCCGTCAATTTCATAATTTATTTTACCTTTGAACCTCTCTCCTTTGTGTACGTCATACACGGTTGAATCTTCGACAGCACCACAATTTGTGAACACATTTTTAAAAACAATTAAACACAGTTGTTTATGTGTGAAGGCTTACTGGTCATGGAAGTCATTTTTGCCCAAATTTGAAATTGTTATGGCCTTTGGCATGTGTTTATAAAATTCACATTGTGTTTATGATGGTTGTTTATTCGCAAAGAATAGTGTATCGAGACGGACACCCAGGCGGTTCTCAGTTACTGGTAAGTAATTAAAGTAATTCAACATGCCCCTCACACTTCCAATAAACATCGGTTTCTATAAGATATGTATATTTACGCCACAAACGCGGTTACACTGTGATCGGTGTATAAATAAAGTTCGAAGTTATTACTCGTAATTGTGTAATTTAGACACAAAATCTACTATCACTAGAAATCTTTATAAACCTGAATATGCATGTAAAGATCTTCGTCTTTCTGAATTCTGTATAAGCCTACAAGTAGCAATAACCGAAAACTCAATGAATTTAGTTGCGCCGGGTTTGTGCGTAAACTAGTTTAAATTTCCTGGTGGTTTCAATTAGCTGTTGGTAAGTAGTGGTTAATTCATTGCTTATGGCGTTGTAGGGCTTCCTAAATATCTTATAAACACATTACATCCGCATTAAAGCAGCCTTAAACACATTACGAGCCACATCAACAGAAATCTCTACCCTCTGATCCAAATCTGTACTAATCCTATAAAAGGTGTCACAGTATATAATCCATTAAATCTGGTTAGGGACGTATGATATAAAAGCAGGCGGCGGACAGTAAAAGCCAGCAGTCAGTCAGTGCAGTGGGCGGTCAAGCACACTACCGAGGACTGCTCACTCCTTCAGTATTCCATCAAGATGTATAACCAAACTGAAAATTCCGTCTATGATGCACACTTTGCACCTTTCAAGTAAGTCCATTTTAGATACTTGTACATAGTGCTTACAATTATCTGAAAATTGCCGTAAAAGTGGCGCGCTTCTTTGAATCGATATTTGTACGAGGTATGTTGAAATCTGATTACTTGAATGACTTCTTTTGGATAGATCGGGGAGCCCGAGTGAGGTGGAGATGCTGGGCGCGGGGCTGACAGGGGACGACCTCGCTGCAGTGCCAGAGCACTGGCTCTCGTTCCCCGCACCTCCGGCAAGTGCCCACACAGCGCTGGCTTTGCTCTACACGTTCTTCACTGCTGCTGCTCTTTTAGGAAACGGCCTGGTTATTTTCATATTCTCTACGTCAGTATATTTTATCTAGGAATTACATAGTTTTGACGGAAATCAACATGGTGGGTAAATATATTTTCTTTTTGTTGCAGAACAAAGAGCTTAAGGACTTCCAGCAATCTTTTAATTTTACAATTAGCCATTTTAGACTTTATAATGATGGCAAAAGCCCCAATATTTATATACAACAGTGCAATGCGAGGCTTTGCCACTGGGACCGTGGGTTGTCAAATATTCGCGTTGATGGGCGCGTACAGCGGTATTGGTGCTGGCATGACTAATGCATGCATTGCCTACGACAGGTACGAATTCATTTATAAAACAATTTGATTCATACTTCTTAAATATTCACGAATTTGTCAAATTAACTTTGCTTCGACCACTTGAAGTTTACATACACAGATTACATTCAGGGTAAAAAATAACTTTTATTTTGAACGATGATGATGATAATGATTAAAATACTACTAAAACATTGTCGATAATCCAACTGTCCTTTCAATATGACCGTATGATTTTAACATTTCAGGCATTCAACAATCACTCGACCCTTAGACGGGCGACTGTCACGCGGAAAAGTTCTGCTGATGATGGCATTCGTCTGGATATACAGCACGCCATGGGCTCTGCTACCACTGTTCAAAATATGGGGAAGATATGTACCTGGTATAGTACCACAACAACAAAGCTTTCACAGATAATTAAAATAAATTTTGATAAAAAAAAATTGATTTATTATTCTTTTTTTTTCAGAGGGTTATTTAACGTCCTGTACTTTCGACTACTTAACCAACACATTCGACACAAAATTATTCGTGGCCTGCATTTTTACCTGCAGCTACGTGTTCCCTATGTCAATGATCATCTATTTTTACAGCGGTATTGTAAAGCAGGTGTTTGCGCATGAAGCTGCATTAAGGTTAGTATTGCTGTGCGATATGTTTGTTTCAATTATCTAGAAATAATTGCACTAAATCTAATAAAAAACAACATTATTTAGAGAACAAGCCAAGAAGATGAATGTCGAGTCGCTTAGAGCCAACCAGAGCTCAGGCGCAGAATCAGCTGAAATCCGAATAGCCAAGGCGGCGCTTACCGTGTGCTTCCTGTTTGTGGCGTCGTGGACTCCTTACGGCGTGATGGCTCTTATAGGAGCTTTTGGGGACCAACAACTTCTCACACCCGGGGTAAATAAAAAATTTATTCAGTTACATTAACTTTTCCTTTGCATCTCTCGTGATTTTTTATGGGATAAGTTGGAGCGAGCCGGCTTATTACCTGATGGTAGGCAATCAGTGCCGCCCATGAACACTCGTAAAAACAAAGGAATCAATATAAGTGCGTTACCGAAATTTTGTGGGTTATTAGGGATTTAAGGTTAGGATTTGGAGATATAGGTTAGGGAGGGGGAAGAATCAGACATTCGGTAACTCCATTGATTCGGCGAACACACAACAGTGTTCTGTCACGCGGTATTCTGTCAGGCCGTGGTATCACCGGAACATCTTCTAGAATCTTTAAATTGCTTGTCATTGAATGTGTAGACAAATTAAAATGCGCTACGAAAAAATAATACTTTTGTCGATATTGAAAACCTAATGTAACCTAATAAGAATGAAGATATAAAGATAAATGACATAAGAATATAAGTAAATAATAAGATTCGTAATCTGAATTTAAACTTTTGAATGTCGCTACTACGTCGCTACCCAATTCAGACCATTTTGTCTAGAAACATCCGAAGAAGCCATTTATGTTGCGCAATTTCTGTTCTTTCAAAGATTATTTCGACACCATTGGCCTATGGTGAAGCTTTCTCCGTCCATATGTATGCTTAAAGTTTAAAACGACCCAACAGACTTTGAGGCGTTTTTTTATAGATAGAATGATTGTTTTATATGTATAATAACATCCTTTGAATAGTGGCCAAAATTTGCATGGCACACGCGCGAGGCCGGGTAGGTCTCTAGTATTGTCAATATTTTTTATATTTATTTACCTACATATAATTATTTCAAATACACATGTGAAATTTAAAATTTAAGCATTTTTACTTTTTTTAGATTTAGGCCTTTGTTCAGCAGTGGGCACTAATAAAATGGTGCTTTGGGAAAACTCAAATTCTTTAGTTATTTATACGAAAAAGTCGTGCCTATATTAGAAGATAGATACTTTTATTAGGAGAATGTCCATTATCGTATTTTGTATTCACAGGTTACCATGATTCCCGCCGTAGCTTGCAAAGCTGTCGCCTGTATAGATCCCTGGGTTTATGCAATCAGTCATCCGAAATACAGGTAAGTAAAATTGCACCTTTTTCATATCCATGACCTTATAACTTATTACCCCCACCTAATAATTATTTCAGATATTTATATCAAAATTACATAATTATACAAATAAAATTCTACAAGGAGAAATGATTAATGTGGACATTTTTATTGCAGACAAGAACTGCAGCGTCGCATGCCTTGGTTGCAAATTCAAGAACCTGACGATACAGTTTCTACCGCAACCAGCAACACCAATGCACCACCTGCAGCGCCTGCATAGGCTCACTTGCCTCTTTTTCTAATTATTTAAGCTCAAATTCACTACGAACTGCTATTAAAAAAGTTAGGACAAACCGTTTTTATCGTGTTGATGGTAAATGGTTCCCTAAATTGCTGACTAACGCAATAAAATTTGAATAATTCTAAGTTAGTTGTAGCCTAAAATAATCGCTCCCAACAAGGTATTGACAGATTTCAGCAGACCTAAAGGCACATATTATGTTCTATATGAATATACTTACACAACAATTAGAAAGTTTCTGAATAACTTGTTCATTATTTAATACAATATTCAGAAAAATATGCATTAACACAAAAAAGTTCTGTTTCTATAGCTCTAATAGTTTTGCAAGTTTCGAATCGCATTATGATTAACTAATCAAATATTCTGTATTTTATGATCATCACCTTAACCGTTACCTAAGATCATATTTATTTATATTTATTTACTCCTAAAAGGCCTTACTGTTTCTGTCAAGCTATTTCATGATTTCCTTACGAAATAATAAATATTGTTTCTGAACGATGACTATGGCATGTTTAACGGACTGAAATATAATTATTACTTAAGTACTTAAGTGTTACTCAAATGCTTACATGAAATAACAATTGATGAATTTAAATAAGGTTTATTATTAATTATCACCCCAATACGTCTTATTTTCCAAAATTATCCCAGTTCCCATAGAAAATTTCAAAGGAAGCGCAAAGACAGCACCAGACCAATTTCCCATCACAAAAAAAAACAAAAGAGCGCCCACAACGCCGCGACCCTTTTTGATAGCCATTTCCACGTTATAGTCCTTAATAAAGGATTATAACTAGCTATAGGTATATAAATTAGATCGCTTTTGTCGGCCGGCCTTCTGATTAGCTTGCTTATCGCGCCTTCACAGTTATCAGTGTACCTACTTGATACATTTTTTTTGTGTCGTGTTTGAAAATCCTCATGGAGACTTATCGCCCTCGGGGAAGGTCGAAGGGTACTGTCAGACTCTTACTGACTAAAAACCAATCGCCGAAGCATTCGTCGCAACCCCCCCACGGGTATTGGCCCGCCAGATGGTAAAGCGGGCCCCGTCACCCACTGCGGCCGTCACCCCGACCGCAAGACTACACTATGAGGCGCGCGCGGAACACGGCACCGCCGCCTCGAGGCCTGCTGCTGGTCGGACGACAAGAACGCCCCGAGTCTGTCGTCCGCAGGCCGCGCCCTACGGTGGCCGCAGGTCGGCCACCCTACGACGTCTAGTGCGTCTGCTGCGGGAGGGAAGAGAGGAGGCAGCCTCTCTCTCCCTTTTCGCCGCCTTCTTTGCGAGCATCACGGCCTCGCAGAAGGTGGCGACGGCACTCCACCCTGACTCGCTCCCGACCATAGTAGACACTACAGCCGGAAGCGAGAGATTTCCCGCAGCACCTACGGCCGCGACCAGGTCACGGCGCTGCTTGGCCCAAGCTGGGCACTCCAAACTTTAACAGTCTGCGTCGATCGGACCTCTCATCCAGTAAGTAATATAAATCTTGCGCTTGCTTTATAAGCAACTAGGGAGCTCCTGCAGCTTTGAGTCTATCATTCAGTTACAGCTCCAAAGAGGATATAACCTGTCCCTAACTCCAAAGTGGTTATATCGTCATTGATCAGCTCTTTACCCTGCAAGTAACTTTGTAGGATAGCTTCGCAATTCCGCAAGTCCGGCTTTGGTGGCATGTCGAACCCTCAGCAGACAAACGTGGCACTTATTATTAAAGTCTTGTTGGTGGTGACTTAGAGTGAGTAAGTACATTTTTGAGCAAGTTTTTATGTTATGTAGTGTTTTTAGGTTATGTCACAAAATGTAGGTATGTACCTATATCGCTATAAAGTCTTTGATTGGATATGAAAGTAATTGAGCATTTGACTAATGTTACTGTACACTGTGTGTGACAATAAGGTACATCATCAATATACATAAAATACGTTTTATCTTAATTTTAAGACTGAGACAGAGTTCTTGTATGTATATATTTAACAGATGTACACATCACTTACCGTATGTAGGTAAACATAAACATTAAACTAAGGAAAATTACTAATACATAAAAACTTTCATAAAAATAACAAAATAATTAATAATGTGAATCAAGATAAAGATACAATAAAATAACATGAACCACGAAAACACAAAATTAAATTAAATCAATTCAAATGAAATTACTAAAAATAAGAATCGGAAACAAAGACCTTAATCCTAATTTAATTTTAAATATATTTGGTATTATTATTTATGATATTAAGTAGTAGCTATCGTGAGACATAATATCATTGTGTGATCGGTTGCTTTCTTCGCCGTCTGCTGTGTCTAGCTGGGATTTAGCTGAGTTGTCCCAAAGATAAGAATAGTACTCCATACGTATACATATATTTAAGTGTGGGAGAGCCATGCTTCGGCACGAATGGGTTGGTCGGCTCGACCGGAGTGATACCATGACCTCACAGAAGACCGGCGTGAAACAACCACAGCGTTGTGTTTCGCCGTGTGAGTGAGGTTACCAGAGGCCCAATCCTTCCCCGCCCCCAATCCCTCCTCAATCCCTAAATCTCCAAATCCCTAATCCCTAAAAGGTCGGCAACGCACTCGTAACTCCTCCGTTGCGGGTGTCCATGGGCGGCGCTGATTGCTTACCATCAGGTAATCCGTAAGCTCGTTTGCAGACCAATTACATAAAAAAAAATACGGACTTGCTTGAAGTTTTCGCCCCACCCTCGACAAGATGCTCAAGTTTCTACCAGCCATTTGCGACTTAGACTTTATATAAAGCTTATTTTTGCAATAAAATGAAATAATAGGTAAACTTGCTAAACAGTCGATGGGATAATTGGGTGTCTAAAAAATGTTAATGCTAATTAATGATTTTTATCCGACTTCCAAAAAGCAGGACGTTCTCAATTCGACCGTATATATACTTTTTTATGTTTGTTCGCCGATATCTCCGTTATTTATGAACCGATTTTGATAATTCTTTTTTTATTGGAAAGGAGATAGTCCCAGAATGGTTCCATGATAAGGAAATCAGGATCTGATGATGGAAGACCAGAGAAATCGAGGGAAACTTTCAAAAATTGTAGCGGCGAGTGGTGTTTTTGCATATGGTTTTAGTAAGCTTTTGACAAATTTACAAGTTGCCAAAGTTCGAACCCGACCTGATGATGGAGCCGGAAGACAGTCGAGGGATCTCCTCGACTATTTGGAGTAGTTGCCTTGTGTTTGGGCTTGAATGATTCGTATTGGTGAGCACTTTGCACCAAGATTAGTCGTGACTGTCATTAAGGGTCTGATGATGAGAACGATGGACAGCTCAGGGAACTCCGGAACGGTTTACAGTAACTACCTCGTGTTTGGACTTAATTCATTTATATCTATGAAAACTTTGCACCTTTATGGATTACAATGAAGTTATGCAGTAAATTGTGATGATCTCTTTGTCTATTTGGAGTAATTGTAATTGGACTTAGTTCATTTATATTGATGAGAACTTTGCACCTATAAGTATGGATTATGTATAATGAAGGTCTGCAGTATACCTGATGACTGAGGTCATTGACATTTGACGGAATTCCTCAAAAATTTACGGCACTGAAAGCTGACTAACTCAGGACTGCCATTACCGTGATTTTCGGCCTCAAGTAGCCGTCGTCTTCCCTTTTGAGAAGCATCCTAGCTTTCTCTGCCTATCACTTAAAATGGTGAAATAAACAAATTTTTAACAAAAAAAAACGACTTCTTCTTCTAGTAAATGCTACATACAAAACAACAACTGTATTAGAAAAATATATTGATCGGTACCTACTAATCATCAAATTAGCAAGAGGTATGTAGGTAATATCTTTACACTGTTATAGTTTTACTTGGCACCGACTTTAAGATTATAAAATAGTTATTAAATATTATTTTCTATTTAACTAAATGAAAATATGTATTACTTTGAATAAAGTAAATTTATTTTTTGCTTTTTAGTTTAGGTACTTTTTGAAGTCGGTTTTTTTAAATGCTAATTATTGATTTTATTTTTGATTTTTTAATTAGTACTTAATGATAATTATTTTCAATCTATTAAGTACCTAGATACCTAAACCTGATAAATAGGCGATGGATGAGTGAGTGTCGAAGATTGGTATAGTAGCAATGATATTATAAGTAAAATGGTGTAGATAGATTACATAAACAACATTAGATTATCAAAAACGGCACACTAATGCACACATGAATAAATCGTATGATACCTACGCTTTAAAGCGGGGCTAGTTAGCCACATTTTAATGTATCACTTGCTGAGCGCTTATGACCTGTCTACACCTTTTTACTTATAATATCATTGCATTGTAGTATCAAAGACTGGTGCTTATAAAAATAAAATCAATAATTTTTGTTAATTATTATGAAAAAGCCTATTCTTATCTCTAAGGAAAGCATTAAATCACGTTTCAGTTTAGTAAAATAAATAGGTACATAAGTTTTGTTATAAACGCTTGACATTATAAAATTTTCGATCATTGGTGCTTTTATCCTGTAGGTAGTACATTTATGATTTTCTTTTTGTTAGTTGATAGAAATCGTTTTATTTGATTTATATGGAAATTAATAAGTTATTACCTTTTATTTTATAAAATAAAAAGATGTGTAAAATTCAAATAGCCAGCAAATTAATTTTGATAGTTACAATACTTCCTCCCTGACTCGTTTATTTTGAGATTTCTTCTACTGTTTATTTCTGAAATTATCACTTTTTTATCCTGAGTTATTGGTGCGTTTAACCCTTAGAAGCCTGATTTTTCAAATCAAATTTTAAAAAATATCGGTGTATTCTGTGCAGGAGCTAGATAAATGGAAAAATAATAAAAAAAATCACATTATGTATTTTATATATATATTTCGAAAAAAAAAACTGGTATCAATTTTGATACTCCAGGCATTAGGGCCATACATAAGTTGGAATAACAAATAGTGTTGTTAGGTATGAAATAATGAGAAACATCTGTTATTTTTATTGTCACATAATGAAACTTTACATTTTATACAAACCCATGAAGTAAGTTTTCTACAATTGTTATATTTACATTTATTCCTAGAATCTAAAAACATTTTCTCATGGCCGACTCGATCGTAACGTACATCAGTAGACGGCAGGACCTGAACACCTGCCCGTGGTTTTTTGGAAGGTTCAGGGATATCTTCTCGTCGACTGGTACTTGGTCTTCCTCTTTTATTATCTGACCGAGTTTGATATCGACATAATGTGTCAGCAAGCTCGGTTCTGAAGTCGGCTAACTTCATTATATCTTTCTGTGATTTATTGTTCACTGTACTCACCTTTTTGTACAGCACCCAAGCATTTATCACAGTCATGTCCAAGAGATGATAAAACAGCCTTGTTGTCCACTTTCTTGACTTTATGCGAATGCGATAACGACCAATGAAGCTGTCCATCAGATCAACGCCTCCCATGTGAGCATTATACTCCTTTATGACCCGAGGACATGCTACTTGGATATTCGTTTTTAGTTTTTTTTCGTAACGGATTATGGTCTCTGCTGGTTCAGCACCAACATAGGTGGAAAGCAATAAAACTTGCTTATTGTCTTTCCAACTCGTTGCCGAAAATTCTATGCCTTCAAAAGAAGCAACGTTTTCATGATACGTGCCTCTGGGTACATTAGTCTTCAGAATTTCCTTTTTGTCTGGCAACTTGCAGGATTTACCAAGCCTGTTTCTCTGTACAGTGCCAAGGCAATAAATTCCTTCTTTGGTCAAGTAGTGTAGCAGAGGAATATTAGTGTAAAAATTATCGAAATAAATTATATGGTTGATGTGCCTAGGGACTGGTCGTAACAGTCGTATAACAGTATTTGATACTACTCCGAGGTCTGGTTCGCCAGGTAGACGTTCAATGTCCTTAGCTCCAGAGTAAACTTCAAAACTGTATGCATACCCAGAAAGAGAGCATAAAACATATAATTTGAATCCCCACTTATGGGGTTTATTTGGCAAATATTGTTTCATAAAATGCTTTATTTTGGTAGCACACATTTGCTCGTCTAGTGATAGTCGGTGGTCGAACGGTACAGTAATAAATTTTTTATTCAAATGATCTATCACTGGTCTAACTTTATGGAGTCGGTCGTGTTGTGCATGATCGGAGGGCAAATGCTTAGTGTCGTCATTCATATGAAAAATTTGTCTGATTTTATCAAATCTGTTGCAGCTCATGGTTTGTGCTATGGGTTCGAATTTAGCTATATTTGACCAGTACGACCTGACACTAGGATAATGGTAAACACTTGTAAAAAGTAGAATTCCAAGGAACTTTCGTAACTCAGAAACAGTAACAGGTTCTGTAAAGTTGGGATTTTTTTGGAAAGCATACTTATTGGATTCGTCCATAAGAAATTTCAATAATTCTTCATCAAAGAAGTAAGAAAAAAACTGAAATGGCGTTTCCAAACTTAGAATTTCTGGTGAGCACGCAGTGTTTCCTTTGAATTCGAAAGCGTTTTGAATAGTGTCCATATTTTTTACTCTCCATACTAGATTTCGAGGGTTGCAGGTGTAATTATTCACTGAAGGAGTTGGACTTTGTTCAGTGATCCCTAAATTATGTATTTCAGAAGCTTCGTTGTCTAACCGCGAATTCGCTTCTAACTCAGGGTCAGCGAATGAAATACCTTCATGATCTTCATCTTCTACCTCCATCTGAAGATCTCTTTGACTCGAATAGTAGTCGATTTCATCTTCATTATCGCTGGCCTCGTCCTCTGAAATTTCACCATTTTCCAGCTGTCTCAAAATGGTTTCGATATCCTCCGGCTTCATTTTTGATAAATATCTATAAAGCAATTGAGAAAAAGTTATTCCAACACCAAACCAAGCAGAAAACTAACGAAAAAGGCAAGCTTTTATCTAAAAATTATAATTAGCTAAAAAAGTAGTCACTAAGTTTCAAAGAGCCGGGAATGCCTGAAGTACCAAAATTGATACTCACAAAAATAGCACATTTCTCCTCAAGCAAAGAAAAGAATCGTAACAAAAATTATATTTTAGTAAAATTATGATATTTACTCACCTCAAAAGTATTTTTATTATTTGGAATAAAGAAAATTCGTCAAAGGTATAAAGCACCAAACTTTTTCAAAAAGTGTGTTCACTTGTTCAATAAGGCGGGAAAGCAAAATGTCATAGATAATCAAACGATGTTGACATTTGACTTTTTTTTTAATTTCGATCTAAAGAGCACTATGCAATAATATTATCAATCAGTCTAACATTAAAAAAAAAACGAATTACAAGTATACATTCGGTTTGAAAGTTCGGTATCAAAATTGATACTCGAGGTATTTAAGGGTAATAAACATCATGAAGGTATTTTGTATTACTTTTTTATACAACACCACCGATTTAATGTCACCCTAAGAGTGTATGTCAGCTGTCATGTCATTATCAAAATCTTTTTTGACATAATATTGTTGTCATTTTCAGTCACTTGTCACACATTCGCATTGGTAATTTTTGAAAACTTAAGAATTAAAATAATAATTTAACGTTTAATCAATATTTTTTACTTCGAAGTAACTTAGTTCAAGGCTCAGAAAGATTTATTTGAGAGGATTACTGTGTCTTCAAACCTCAAACACAATTGCCTCTCTAAAGTGCATCAGTAATAAACAATATGAATGGGTGATAATAACATAAATAAATAACAAGTGGAACCCAATATTTTTTCCACCATGGATAAATTAACAGTAATATCAGGAACTCTATTTATGGCAGCTGATGTTTTTGCCATTGTAAGTCTTGCAATGCCTGACTGGATCATTACTGAAGTTGGAGGTATGTCAATCACTGTAACCTTGGAACCAACCAGACTTAGTAAAATGAAGTCATCGACGTAAAAGAACATAAATTTTGTCTTTTTGCAGCTCCTAAAGATAGCCAATGTTCAAGTTATTGTGCTATTTGCACCCTATATTTTCTTGAAGTTGGATTTTGTTGTTATCTTCATTAAAATGTACTTAAGAACTTTTCTTATCCCATACAGGTGACACACGGCTTGGTTTGATGTGGTCCTGTATCACTCTCTACAACCGACCTCAAGTCTGTTACACTCCAGACCTGCAAGTTGAGTGGCTGCTTGCTTTAATTTGCATATTTATTGGTTGTATATGCATAACTACAACTGTTATTCTTCTAGCTTCAAGCCATTTTGATAGAAATGTAATACCATATGCACGATGGGTTGGATTTGCAGCAAGTAATGAATTGCATAATATTTTTTATTATATTTCTTTTAATTCTATTTGTTAACATATACTTATGAATATTTTTTACCTTTCAGTGGTAGTGTTTTGCTTAGCAGCAGTCATATTCCCAATGGGTTTCCATGTGGATGAAATTGGAGGACAACCATACCAACTACCAAACAGCCACCAAGTTGGCATATCATACATTTTATTTGTTTTGTCTCTCTGGATTACTGTGATATCTGAATTATTTGCAGGCAAGGTTTGTCTGCCTCATTTTTAGTTTGTAAGTGCAATTTATTGGTAAGATATGCATTCCATAGTAATATATGTTTATAGTGTAAATTAAAATTATAGGAAAAAAATATGAGTACTTATTTTTCTTGTTTTACATACTTATAGCATATTCATTACACTCCAGCCAAGGAAGGCAGTAAACAGTATTTTTTTTATACAAATTAAGCCCATTTTCTGTATTACTCTGTGAAACTGGCCATTAACTTTGAAATTTCGACATGAATATTGAAACCACAAATTACTTATTGTAATTGCTTTTAATTACTTGGGATCACAGGATCCCTCTTGGAAGGTGTACTAGGGATTTAAAGCTTACTTGCAGAGATTTGACAATCTCTGCAGCAATAGCAGAGATTGTCAAACAACTTAAATGTGATGGCACAAAATTATTTTTGATGCTTACATACCTAATACTTTCACATTGATGCTTTCCTAGAGTTTTCTCCTGAAGCATGTTAGCTACCTACCACATTCAAAACAAAATATTTCTGGTACTCGCGAAAATATTTAACCCTGTTGCAGTGATTAGTATATTGGGTCTGGTGGGTACTTAAAGGTCCTTGGGGTTTTTTTTTTGTGAGTGTAAAATCTTTAAATGACTTCTCCCGCCCAGGGCCGGGCGGGAGGGAGTGTCAGACTCTTACTGACTAAAAACCCCCCTGTTCCTGCTCCTGCTCTAGGCCGAGGTCGCGGTGCCTCATTGCGTTTACCCCGCAACCCCGGCTGAAAAGGTCCTTGGGGATATGGCTTGCATTGCAAAAGATATTTGCGTTCCGGCCACGTCATAATCATCACGTTCAGCTGAGTTTGCGGAGGCCGCGGCCTAAGCCTGGAGCAGAAGAAACAGGGTGTTACTTTTAGTCAGTCAAAGTCTGACGCTTCCTCTCGCCTCACCCTGGGCGAGAGAAGTCATTAAATTTAGTTGAATTGATTTGCCTCCCAAAAAAGCTCTTGTAGTTGGAGACTTGCAAGCTTTACCATCATTGTGTTTGGTTCGTCACTGTAGGTACACATATGCAGCAATTCTCGTTTCGTTTAGTAGGTATGGTCAATCCAATCAAAAACATAAGATTAGATCCAAGAGATCTCATGAGAGAGCCAAGTATTATGGTAAAGGCCTTGGTTGTTAATTGACTTCAACGACAAAAGAAATGAGATCTAAATGGGTGCCAAGTTCAATGGTCAGTCCTGAAATTTATTTACAAGTAACAGTATAACATATCATATCTTCTTTTAACATAAGATATGAAGATATGTGTTGTAGCCTAAGGTCTGATTTGGCGAGTTTTCATAAACCTTCCAACGAATTTATTATATTCGATCGCTAGTTTCTATCAACAATCCAAATAATTTATAATATGATAACTAGTTAAGACAGACCCCTGTTTACCCTATTGGCAATATTTTATATGCTTGATCAATTGTAAAATAATGACAACGAATGGGTTACTCTACTCGTAACAGAACATCTCATATTTCGGTGTAAGATAGTGGCCTGTGCCAGTTTCAATAATTGCGGGAATAGCACCTGCTATTTGTATAATATACTAAAAAAAACAAATTATGAAATTCGGGTATTTCTATCACTTCTATTTAGTTCATATAGAACTGTTTGATACAGCATAATAGATACACAGTTTGGTTGTTAGAAAACGTAGGTTGTCGGTTTTTTCTATATCAATTAAAGTCGCATCTTTTAAACCATATATTGATAAAGCATAAATTATGTTCAGATGAAAGACAAGATTTATTTGTCCATTTTGCCCATCACCGTGGTCCATTTTACCTCTACGTGCAGGCGAAACGGTAGATTTTAGAAATAATCTAATAACTTCCAATTCTGTACCTACCTACTTTGATTAAAGAGTGGTAATAACAATTGTAGGCTGATTACTAATAAAGATATTTTATGAAGTTTCTGTTTGTTGGTGATCAAGAGATCAAGACTAATAAAATTTTCATTTAAACCTTCATTCCCCCAACATGAACATATTCATTTACAAAAGGGATACCTACTTCACCGACGATTAATGTTTTTTACCCGTAAATGAAATATTAATTTATTGGTACTCCCAAAATGGTCACCCTACTACAAGGAAATAATCAAGTATTGTTTTTTCAAAATCCAAAATACCTATATAGATTGCTGAACTGTGCAGATATTTTAGCAGACATTTCTGCTAAATGTTAGTATCTCTTGCATTAGATTCTGTTGAAATCTCGGGTAGCTACAGTCAAACATATAATTAGAACGTCAGGATTGAGGAGCCAAAGAAAATAAATAAGTACCTTTAAATATAAAATTTATAGGTAGGTACTCTTTTTTACTATTTTACTCCTATATTGCAAAAATAAACAAAAAACCTGCTAAATGATCATTATGTGGAATATATTGATCGCCCACATCACATCTAATAGATATGCATATCTTGAGTTTAGACTGAGTTTGCCATATTATAAGTATTGTATTTTCTTATGTAAATGGTAATATGCAAAATTGCTGCTAAAGGATACAAAATATTTATAAATATAACGAGTTCCAGGTGGCTCCTCAATCCAGATGTTCAGATTGAGGAGCCACCTTTTCATTTAAATAACTAGAGATATATTTTGCTGCTCAATCTAGAATTTGTGCTGCAAAACAGGCCACATTACTACCAAATGGTGAGGTCAGATCTGGTCAGATTTGAAAAATCTTATGTGGCTCCTCAATCCTTACGTACTTTGGTAGGTACTCATTTTTGAGTTCTGAGACAATACCTACCTACATGGCGAATTACTCACGTCACTTCAGTGTCTGCTTTTCATCTGCTACCGTAAAACGGGGTACACGCATATTGGTGAATTTTCTTAGTATCCATTCACTCCTCGAATTATATTCACCCCGGTTTACCGTAGGTGACCTTTCATTCATTTATACTGAATGCAAACACCGACTCGCTAAGAGACTTGCGTAAGTAGGTCATAGGCCACTTCATTTTTATAACGTTAAAGTTTTTGTTAACATGTGTAAGCATAATAATATAAAAAAGTTCTTTCGTATCAATGAGTAAGGAAGTAATTATTTACAAAAAACCAAAAGGTTTAAGTGGCAGACAAGTCCTCCATACGAGTCTGGAGGTGTTCAGTGTAGTAGTATATTCTATGTATTTTCCTTTTTATGAAAATAATAAACAACATATATTATTAAAACAAAATTATTTATTCGCTACTGACTAATGCTAAACCACGAGCTTTAAAAATATTACATAATTAAGAATCAAAACTTGTAATAGATAATAATAAAATGACAATATTTACAAAACGGTATATTAACGGTAACACCATTTAGGTCCATTCAGAAGCTATATAATATATCTACAAAGTCTAACTGCAAGTCTTTAATCACTTCACATAAAAATGTTTATTCCACTGTACTTCACATATTTGGATGACTTCCTGTTGTCTTCATGCTGAGTATCTTCAATATTTAATCCGTAACTGCTGTACAACTGAATATAAGTAAGTGTAGGTAAATGTCCATTGTGCCGCCCTCATCCTAGCAAAGTGCTTAAAATTAAGACGTGAATTATGTTGATCGATGATTACGACGCTGACAGGAACACCGCTGACAGGAACGCCGCAAACGGAGTGATGTAGCTCCCGTCGTTACATAATCGCGCAACAACACGTTACTAAATAATGACGGCTATATACGAAATGTTAAAGACTTTGAACAGCTGGAAGACTGGCTTTGCAATCTAATTGAGATTGATCGCAGTCAGTATATGAAAGTTTGAATTGACTTAGAAATTCAATTGCCTTAGAGCTTGAATCGAACGCCAACTCTCGAATGATGAAATCCACAGGAACACTCTGTCTGTAGCTGCACATATAAAAAATAAATTAATATACACAGCCAGCACTGCTGGCGAGGGGACTTTTTAGTACTCATATTCTAAATTGTGTGAATAGAATATAAATACTAAACATTAACGAATTCCCGATTTAAATAGTAGTTGGGGGTCGGAACAGGGAACTGGTTTAACAAAAGTAACTCCAATCAGTTATAGGAACTATTGATGCAAATAAGACAGTATTTTTTATGCAATTGACACTTTATGAAGCTTTACGTAGTTCGCAAGGGTCGATTGAATACCATGGACTTACATAAATAAACTATATTCATGAATACTGTCATGTATCAATTTTTTCAATAAACCAAGATATATTAGGTGCTTCTGAGTATTTTATTACAGATGTTAAAAAAAAAACAACATTTCTCGAACTATTTCTGTTCTGTGGTTTTAATGCTGTTTTCATGGTTACCCATCCATTTTTTTTTAATTAAAGCGTTACCCGGTTCCCCTACTCTGTTATTTTCTGCTGTGTCGTAGATGTGTTTACAAATATGAAAGTCATTATGTATAAACCACCTAGACCCGAAACAACATTCTGTGGATCACACAGTTTTGTAACGTGCGGGAATCGAACCCGTAACACGGTGCAGAGCAGCCAGTTGCCCAGCCACTACGCCTATCATTATTTGATATGTGTATGCATAATGTACAACAGATGTACTACAAACAGGTGCATGCGCCCAACACCAATTAATCACATTAAATACCCGTGCCATCATAAAGTATTGCAAAAAGTTATTGATAGAAGTTTATGCAGAATTTAACACTCAAGCAAATAAGGATACAACATTTGGAGCCCATTTTTTGCTTCAATATTACATCTTCTGGAATGAACCAATAAGAAAAATATGCCGTTAGGTACGAAAAACGACGCGTCGGTCATCCTAATGGCCAATTATCTTAGATGCCTTAACACAATCAGTGCCCCCGACGCGTATGTGCGTTTCCTCGCACGCACATACGCGTCGGGGGCACTGAATGTGTTAAATATTCAGTCTATTGAAGCAGTTGAAATATCCATTCCTGCAGGCGTTTGTAAAGCTCAGGTCAGGAATAATCAAGTCTTTTACAGCACGAGAATTGCGCCTTATTTGCGATAAACTTTTCAAATAAGACATCATTGCATCTCACCTGTGTCAGATACAACTTTGGGTTTTTATTTCAAATTTTAAACTGAATAACTTATTTTTGCACATAAATAATATTTTTATGAGGTTGAATAATGTACTATGTAAATAAAAGGCATAAACCCCAGACTGTCAAACTGTACCAGTTTAAAGTTTGCATTGTTAACTGAATGTAAGCAGCATAGCGCATAGCCCCAAAATGAAATAACAAATGTAAAAAAGTAAAGGACGTACGACTTTAAGATGTATTTCAGGTACTGCTTTCTTTCTCGTTCAACAAACCAGTCCATGAGATATCCTGCCATCATAGGGGCTGCTCTATATAGCAAGAAGAATTTATGCAAATTTCCTGTTGCCCAAGCACATCTTGTTTGGAGCGCATGTTTGACACATTTATTTTCTCTATCTTCCTTTGAAAGAAACTTAAAAATGGTAGTTAAATCTGGAAAAAATATACCATGTTATAATCTTGAGTCCACACTTCTGTGACACATAAATTTGTGCATTTGTAATTTTAATCATTGTAACACCAATCATCAATATATTATCAGTATATATCATAGGACAATATACTAAAAATATGTTGATGTTAATTTGATTAGTTTAGTTATCATTTCTATATGTATAGTTTATCTGTACAAACACATAATTTTATGAATGTTGGTTAGCTTGTAACTGGCTAGAGTATAAGACCTGCTGTCTATAACCAATACTTTAAACTCATTTGTATACATAAGCTGTGAGCCTACCTTATTATAATAAATAAATAGGAATACATTGTAATAAAGCCCAAAAAAGAACTTACCTAAAGTATTTTTTGTGAAAATATAATACAATATCCTGTAAGCTGTAAATTCTGGAGCATTACTTTTACAGTCAGGCAATTCACTGTACAGCATTTTGAGTTGAGTCTGACACTGATTAAACTCTTCATGATCACCCTTCTCAAGAGCAATTCGTGCATGTGTTTCATACACTTCCACAGTAAACTCATCTCGAATTCCTTGCACCTACAAAGTAATGTATTATATATATCAAATTTTAGGAATTTAACTATTCAGATATAGTTATAATTATCAATTGGTTGATTTACTTACAGTTAAATCTTGCCTTATAGATTTCAGCTGATCACAAGTATATGTGTAATCTTGTTTTTCCACCCACTTATCTTTAACATTTTTAAGGGAATTTCTTAAAACTGTTACAGGTCGAACTTCACACGCCTCTGGTGCCCTTGTTAATCTTAAAAATGACTTTTCTATGTCCAGACAAGTGCCTACTATGTGCATATTATTGACTTCATAATCACCATCTGCATCCTGGATAATTGGCCTACGTACAGTTGGTTCTGGCCTCCTGATTCCACCCTGTAAAGAGCTTGCTATGGAAGGGACACCTGAATTACCAAACCGTTCAGCTCTTTTCTGCAGTTTTTCAGCATTACCCTGGAAATCTTCAACAACAAATTGATCAAATGATTGTTTCTTTTTGTTTGTGTTTTTATGATATGGTTTATCATTTTTCTTTGGATCTAAAGATAGTCTATCTTTTACTTTCTGACGGCCTTTGCCTTTATTTTTTTTGTCATCAACCTCGTCACCAGAAGCAGAAGAGGCGCTGAAAAAATTACCAAATTAAATATAAATATTTGAATATAAACATCAACTTCTACATTAGTAGAAGTTGATAAGACTTGCGCAGAGCAGGAGAAATGGAGCTATTATATGATTTTCACAAGTTACTTGTTGTTTAAAAGAAATTCAATGAAACATACCTTAGCCTTTTTCTAGGAGGACTCCGAGACTTAGACCTGCTCCTAGTGCTAGGGCGTCTCCTGCGCTGTGGAGAGTTCTTATGACCATTAAAACCCCGAGTGTTAATGGAACCACGACTTTTATGAGGTTCTGTAGCATTTTCTACCTTCTGATACAAATTTAATGTGCCACGCACAGGCTTTACAGCTAGATTATTTCTTTCACTGTGAACACTTGGAATTGGTTCTTCATCCCAATTCCTAGTCCATATTTCATCTTTGTTGGCAGCTGCAGTTATTCTTCCTTTCAGACATATATCAATTTGATCACGATCAAATGCAGATTTACATTTTTCATAACATCTTTTAATATATCTCTCTAAACTTTCAGGCCAATTGTTTCTAGAATCTGGATCGTTAAATAAATTAGAAGCATTCTTATTTTGTGCTTCTACCATAGAAATACTTTCGTTCATATTGAATTTGAACTCTTCTGGTTCTGGTGGTTGAGGTATATCTTCTGTAGCCACCGGAGGAGGTAGTGGTACATCGATGGGAGGAGGAGGGGGCTTAGGGATTTCCGGTGGAGGGAGGGGTGGCAATGGAGGAGGATGGTCAGGTAGTGGGGGCAGGATTTCAGTAGTGTCTTCCGTTTTATCTTCATTAAATTTATTGTTAGGCTTCTTGCGTTTCTTTTTAGGACCATTGTTGTTGGAAAGAAGGGGATTTTCATTGACAGGTAGAGGTGGTGGCTTTCTCATATTGTTGAGATTGAATCTAATGGGAGATTGGTTAAAGAATGTACGATTGGTATCGAGGGGCGACATACCAAGTAACGGGGCGGTTGGAGGTGGTTTTGAGAATTGGGGATGACTAATATCAATCTTCTGCTCCTTGTTTTGATGAAATTGATGAGGATTATTATTAGAAAACCCTCCGTTGTTTACCATCGGGTTATAGTACTGGTTGTAATATGGTGGATACATACCACCATGATATCCATTATATTGATGGTACATATTCATATTGTAGAGCCACGGATTATGATTCGGTGGTAATCCGCTTACTGTTTGTATTGGAGGCTCTTTTGGACCATTTTCAGCCATTGTTTAATAATATAGCAAGTAAAAACTTACTCAACTTAGCAGTAGTACATTAAAATAATAACCGTGTTTAAACTAATAGCAAATCAAATAAAAGATGTCCTTAACCAAAATGGCGACGACATGCCATTCATTAAGTTCACTCTCAGCTCCAGATGATCTCGAACACGAAGTAATTAGAAGTCTTCTTTCAGTAACTCAATAAACTTAAAATCACAAATTGTACGAGTTTATAATTATATCACTAAATACATCAAATATCAATTCAACAACACAACAATTTCGCAAAATCACAATATATATTCGCTCGAAGATGACGACTGATCTCTGGCTGCTGGTCGCTACCACAGACTATAGAAAATTTTTAGAGACAGATACTCTATGTACGTAGTCGTCACCATTGACATAGGAAATTCTATCTCAATGGTCGTCACTTGCTATGACACCAAACCCAAAGACTTTTAAGTACAAGGTCTTTGACCAAACCTAAGACAAGCAAGACTAATTTATTATGTACTGTTTAGCTTTTAGCTTTGGTAACGGAGGAATAAAATCTTCTTTTGTCATTGAGATCATTAGTACCAGACTGAGAAAAGCCTGAGTTACATTCTTTAATTAATGTAAATTACATTAGACAATAATTGAGATAGGCATGTAGAATAATTATTATTCTAAGGTTACTTACTTTGGTATTTTGGTACTTATAACGGGAGAATCTAAGTGAAAAGTAATGTCATGGCGGAAATATGCTTTTCTGTGTCGTGGTATGGTGTGTCGCGATGACCATCCATTTCACACAGTGCTACTATATAATATAGTAATAATAATAATGCTGATCAAGTAACTTAAAATTAAAAACACAGGTACGTTACATTACAACATGGAATGCCCTTTTAAGCAAAATATATGCTTGTGAGTGGGAAGATTGTTTGTCGTACCAAAGACCTTGTACTTAAAACTTGTTTAGAGTATAAGGTCTTTGTGTCGTACTGACTGTCTCTTTGCAAAGGTTTGACGGAAACAGTTGGGGCAACTTTATGTTTCCTCCTACCATTGAGTTTTGTGGGGTCAAAAGGAAGAAGAAGGAGATTTAATGTTTCTTTAAAGTTACATGTAATAAGTAAAGTTACCTAACTGTTAGGAGTTCGGAATCAGTATAAAGATTATCAGTTAGAAATCTGTAAGGTTTGAAAAACATAACCTTTAATAAATCCCTTTGAGCCCTCTCTAGTTCAAGAAATTTGGTTTTATTTGCCCCACTCCACACTGGCAGACAGTAAAACAACAGTTGAAGCAGTGTTTTTGATGCAATATGGCGTAAAGTTTTGAAAATCCAGATCATGTTACGAACTTTTTTCATTAGCAATTCTATGTGAGTGTGCCAAGATAGTCGCTGATCTACATTTTGGATTTCCGGGCAAGAGCAATTAGTATTGATCAGACTGCAACACCTGTGGATTTTGATTTTGTAGCCTCCGGAGTGAGTTGCTTAGTGTTAGCATACTTAGTGAAACAGACAAAATTCGTTTTTAAAGTGTTTCAAGATAGGAGGTTTTGGACCAGCCAAGTTGGGATTTGAATAAAGCCATTCTCTGTAATTTTTTGACACAATCCCAAGCATAGAACATATTGATCCCAAGACTTATAACTTACCTATACCACTGAAGATTATGACAGTGTCACCTGCATAGGAGAAAATCTGTCCATTATCAATCTTTATGTAAGCCAGAAATAGTGTTGGGCCAAGTACACTACTTTGGCCCACACTGTAGGTAACTGGTTCTTCACTTCTTCAGAACGAATAATGTTCCTATTTTTACTTCTTGCAGCTTTTATAACAGCTCACATAAAGAGTCCCATTACAATGGTACATTTTCCGTGGTGTAAAGCGACAGGGCTTCACCTAGTTGTATAGTCTCTTTTGTGTATTAAGTAAGTCATTCTGAAAGTATGACTTAAGACATGACATGACTTGAGGCATGTCAAAACTTCTTTTATTCTCCCCAAATAATATTTTCTGATTTATTTTGTTGCGGGCTTCCAAGACACTCAGTCATTGCTGAAACACCGACTTCAGAGTTGCCTGGGTGTGATTTTATTTGTTTTACACCCACGAGACAGCAGAAAATTCTAAGTTGGGCACTCATTTATAATAAATAAAAACTCGCAGTCCAGGCGGGAAAGGAGATTTGACGGTTTATCGCCTTAGAGTGTAGGCAGAGAAACCTTTCACTGTCTACGCCTAGAGTATTCAAAAAATATGTCACTGTCAAGTGTCAACTGCAAACGTCATGTATTATTTTTCAATCAGTCTGTCTTCTGTCATTCCGATTGACGTAGCCCATAGTTATTATTTTACAAATAAATTAAGTGAAATATAAAATTAATTTATTACTAACTTATAAACCTCTATCAGCCTGTAAAATATAGTAAATATTATTAACATTACGAGTTTTTTGAAAATTAAATAAAAATTGAAATTATGTTTGATTTCAGTTGTAAGATTTGCCTGGTTACAGTAGAGGTGAATGAATAAAAATTACCAAAAATGGTTACTTGTTTATAAAAATCTATAGTACATAATTTTTGAGTAGATTCTAAATGACCTGGTGAGGTACTTTAAACCATGGATTTATTAAAAACTCCATCTGTTCAGTCTTTATTAGACTCTGACTTGGAATCTGTAGAAAGTCTTCAGTATTTGGATATTGAAGAGGTAATGTTTATAAATTAAAAATTTATTTATTTTAAGAATTATAAAGAATTAAAAATATTAAAATTGCAATATATTGCCTAGTTAATGCTTTTATACAGTAATTATGGTCTGATGGGTACGCCCCTTATTATGCATCTGTCATTATCATCTCTTGTATTTTTTCATTTGTGGGACTGTTATCAAACAGAAGTATTATTCTTCAAAAATTATGATTGCCAGTCAAATATAAAAAAATTAAACAATTTTCAGCTTGATGAGATTGAATATGCTTTGCCAGCAAGTGAAGCTCCTACACTAGCTGAAGTGTTATCCACTGAGGAGGAAGAAATTCAAAGTAATGAAACTAAATGTGTTGAAGACCCGGCTGCTTGCTCAGCCCTACAAGTAGAGTTTTTGCAGGGCATATCACAGCAGCTGTTACAAGCACAAGTATGTAATAAAATTTTAATTTAACGATGAAATAGATAGCAATATTCGGCTAGGCAAAGGTTTGAACAACAAGCTTTATAAAAAAACTGTGTTGGTTGGTTTTTGTATATATATTTATATAAGAAGTAGGTATATGCAAAATAGGGTAATTTTTGAAATGTAAGTTATTCACTATAAATTTTATATTGATCATATGAGATACACACACATTGTGACCATAAGGGGCCACCAGGGGCCTCTGTAAACCAAAACTAAATGAAATCTCCATAAAAGAGAAAAAAAATCTAATATTATTACTATTAGAATCACAATTGCCAAACTCATACAAACAGCTAAAACAATAATAATTTATGATGAACAACTATTTTAATTTCACATTTTAATTTTACTCCAGAATTAGCTTTGTTAGGTATATAGAGACATGCACAATGCACCTAATCCTCTGAGAAATTATATTTAGTTTTAAAACTGCCTACCTGAAGTTAATTGGATTTTTTTTATAAGATTTGGAGCAACATATTTTCTATGTTTCTATATCTTTTTCATGCCCTTGAAGCCCAAAAATATATTATTGTGGCGTGGCAGGTCGCGGCAGAGTGTCAAGCTAAATCATAACCAAATCAAAAGTACTACCCATACAATGCAAGTCAAAACATGTCCTGCTTGCCGTTGTGGCGGGCGTGACGGCAATTATCGTTTTAAGGTCGCAGGCGCTGCGACCAATCGGATAAAAAAAGACGTGTCCGCGGATCTTAACACAGGACATCAGTATCTGCGGATATACATCTTTAACGATGCGGCACTTGTGTTCGATAGCCTTTGGCGCTCAAACGCAACTACGACACAGGCGAAAATATTTGTAGGCGATAGTCGTCTTTTTTTTTGAGAGTGCTGCTTTGCAGTTTGATTCGGTCCGCACCATGGCCTCGACTAAGGCCAGTTGCGAGAGTCCGCCTCCTCCGATCACTTCCCTGAGGACACCACAACGATGCTTATACGATGTAAAGTCTAGCCACTCCTCAAAGTTTACCTCTGCTATATATATAACAGCAACGATAGTGTATAACCCATAGCAGCATTTTACTGAGATACATACTTCCCCCAAGTCTCCTTCAACTCCTACTCTCTCTCTTGCTATCGATATTACTGTCTTTTCTTTTTCAACAAATGTTAAAATGTCCGCTTACTCATATAACATTAGTGACTTGCATAGCTATAGGTACATTATTATGATGCGTAGGTACCTAAGTTTTGCCCGAACTATATTTTTGGGAACATCTAAGATAACCTTTTGTTCATCCTATTTCATTGTTGTAAATTTTTATTATAATGTATAGTGGTTAGTTCTTATAGATGAATATTTTTATTCTTATAGGATCGCTCATCAGCTGGTGCCGCTACTGCACTTAGTGTGGGAAACGATTCAAAATTGACTGTCGGGACGGCACATGGCAATCTACTGTCATTTCAAGAACAAACTTTAAGATGGGTCTGTGATTCAAACACAGACAGAGGAGCTGTATCATGTCTAGCATATAATCAAGATTGCACTCGACTTCTAGCGGGCTATGCAAGAGGGCTTATATGTCAATACGAAAGTGTTCATGGGACTATACTTCGACGAGTGACGTTGGGAGGGGAATTGTGGGGTACATTACGTGTCACGTGGGCAGGGACGTCTGGTCTGGCCCTCGACACTGGTGGATCTGTTTGGCTTATTAAATTTTCGCGGCCTCTAGGAGTGCGATCTGCACGTTCTTCATGCCTGTTTTCTGGAGCTCGAGGAGAGGTTGTAGCAATGGCTGCGCGAGACGCTCGCATATTAGCACTTGCAACGCTATCGCGAGTTATTATAGTGGCAGGAGGCCGGGCTGCGGGATTAAAACTAACTGGCCCTCCGGATACTCTCCCAGTTCTAGAGTGGAGCGAAACAGACGAGCGGGTATTAGTATGTGGACGTTCTAAAACTCTACAATGGCTTTCACTGACCATCACCGGATCATCTATATGTTTGAAACCAATCCGGAGAGTCGAACTGATGACAACTCCATTATGGCTTGGCTGGTTAGGAGGTAATCTCGCTATTTTCGACTCTGATGAAAATTTAAGGTTATGGGGGGATGACTATGATAAGCCTTTGGATCTTTCACATATGGAACCAGTTTACGCATCATCTTTTTTCAAGGTATGTTATGAGACTAGTCCTGTTCAAGTGTTGAAGTCCAATTCATTTCAAAGACTAATAGACACAGGTAGCTCATTACTTCAAAAATGTAATAAAACAACGGAGCTTCCGAAAAATTGTAATAACGTGTCTTAGATTAGTGACGTAATCAAAAATAGGCCAAGTGTGTTCCTTTTGATTGCGATAATATAGAAGTTTGATTTCTGTAAACTTTTTAACGGTCTTACTACAAAACCCTGTTATTCACTTGTTTAAAACTCTGATACTACATAGTTAATTGACATTTATACAAACAGCAAATATACAACAGGTAATCGGTTAAAAGGTTGAGTAGCTATTTTTTTTATGCTACAGTTTACTTGTAACGTATGGAGAAGCGCTGGAGAACGGAATAAAAACGTATTTTCTTTATTTACCCTCGTTTGTATAAAACAGTTTCAGTTGTTAAATATACTACTTAAAAATATTTCAATAATATGTAGTAAAATCCAGTAGATATTATGAATACACTGTTGAATATTTTAATACCATAACTATTAATGCACAGCTGGTTTTAAATTCGATCACCAATAAGCTATCTGAAATAATGAAATATGTATTAAGGCACATCATCATCATATCAGCCACCTTCAAAACTTCTCTATCTCTTTCAAAACTTCGGTTTTTTTCGCCGTCATTCTCTGCCTTCAGCTAAGGCTATTTATAGACGTTGCTTCTGGCTAAATGTCTAAATCCCAAGCTCTTTCGAAGTACTTCGTATCTAAACATTTTGTTCCCTTGCGAGTTTTGAAATTTAACGTTAAACGATAACAATTTCTGTATCATTGATTGCGTTGGGTTAGAAGTAAAATTGTTCAGTTTTTGTTATAAATAGCATATACCAAATACCTCAGCATATGATACCTCCACACGTTTATAAGAAAAACGTCCTTCAATGATTAAGTACTTTGTTTCTCGATTTTTTTCTTTCGGGTACGGACACTTGGGTTTTTATTCAACATGAAAATAATGATCTGTTTTTTGAAGTTTAAGTGACGCTCATAAAAAACCTAAGAGCTTGAAAACTATATTGCGTTGTGTGTCGCCGTGAAATGTGAGGTTTCCAGTAACCTCCCAATCCCATATCCTCGAAAAGCCCGCAACGCACTTATAACTTCTCCGGTGTCAACACTGATATATTCCTGGGTACCTTTGCGAGCCACTTGCCAGCAGCTAGTTCATCCTTCCGGTTTGTTTACCCCAGGCCCATCAAAATGTTCTCTTTTCTCATTTTGATTTTATTTATTACGCGCTTCTCCCAATTTACAAAAACGAATTATTCACATAAAGGTACTAAGTATGCCTTGAGTCTGTGGCATATCCTCGGTGGCTATTTCTGTCTTTTGCTTAGGACTCAAGTTCAATAGCGGACTTTTAAGCCAGAAATTGAATTCATCATCATAATTCTCATTAATTGGTCTATATAAAAATTTAATTACTTGTACTATCCAATAAGTTGACAATGAAATGTGCTTTTTATTCAGGGTCACTGGACTGACGGACGTGTATCTCGTGCGATGTGTACGGCAGGAGTAAGCGCTCTCGGCGGCGCGTGCGTGTCGGCCGGTACGCTGTCTTTGTTAGGGCGGCGTGGCATCGTCCGAGTACGACCGAGGCACCTACTTGCAAGGGCACAAGCGTTCTTAGCTTCTGGGCGGCACCTGAATGCATTACGTCTTCTCTGTTCTGCACAGGGAGCAGAAGCAAAGTCCGTAGCTTACCAATTTATCGACAACATTTCTGAAAGACCCTATATTTTGACTAACAAACAAGTTGCCGATCAAACTGTGAAGTTGTGCTTAAAATATAATTTGAGGTAAATATACTTACATTGTAAATGACTTATTAATGAAATTTCATGTTGAAAACCATTTTTTTTTTTTTTTAGAGATGAATTGTGGTCTCGTTTATGGGAGCAGTGTTCCGATGAAAAAGCATTCGTCGAAGCAATAGCCGAGGCAACAGCTCGGGGAGAATTATCAACGGTTGAGCTATCGCCCGCGCCGGATTCTACTCAGGTACTATCTACATGACTAATGTGTGAAGCTAAGAAAAAAATATATATAAATCACACATCACTTCCAGACAGTTCACAGCTGGACTATGGGCCTCCTTTACATGAAAGGGCTCCTTTCATGTAAAGTATAAATTTTATTTAAATACAAATACTAAGATCGCAATTTGACAATGTAATTGCATCTTAATAAAATATCTTTAAACTGTGTCATCAATGGTTCAAGTCAAGTTTTTCTCACTAAAATGGCATCTTCCAATATAAACAATCCAACAAAGTGTATTTATTTTGTCAGGCACTTATTGAGAAGCTGGCGGAGTTTGAACCAGACCTTGTAGAGCGCGTCATAGCGTCGCTACCCTTGACGTCTATTGACCCGCACCGTGCGAGTGTCCTCACGAGGGAGAAGGGCTTGTGGCGGGCGGTGGGTGCCATCGCTGCTGCACTTGGTAACTATTTTCTAGTCACATTTTCTACACTTCAAATAAATTTTAGCAAGACACCAACAAAAATAATAATAATACCCACACAAAAAAATAACCTAAAAAGAATTGAAAATTAAGTCTAGAGTTCTTAGTTGATTTCTAAAATCAAATTCTTTTTGCTCATTAAACTATAAAAGGAAGAATAGTACAAAATTATAAGTTGTGGTCCTAGTAGTTAAGAATGTGTGTTGATATGTCAGTAATTTTTTCCTTTTATACCTATATAACTAGCGACCCGCCCCGCTTTCCCATAGGTGCAATGCTGATATTAAATTTGTTTGTGTTGAAAATCCGTTGCGTCGTTTTAAAGATGTAACCATACATGCATATGGTAAAAGGAGAGAGAAGGTGACTTTGTTTTGTAATATGTAGTGAAGATTTTAAGAGAGTTTTTTCAGCTTTCGCTAGATTTTACAGAAATGAGGCCCTTTCCTTACCCTCCCCAATCCCTAATCCCCTAAAGGACGGCAACGCACTCGTCTTATAACTCAATTGTTGCGGGTGTCAATGGGTGACAATGGGTTGCTTACCATCACGTAATCCGTCTGCTCGTTCACATATCACAAAATTTTTTTTTAAATGGAATTAGATGACTTATTGACTTTAAATGTGAAGGAATGTATTATACGGGGTGGGGTTTTCAGGTGGGGGTGGTGGAGCAATGCGGAGTCTGGCAGCGCACGTGGGCAGCTGCGGGGCGTTGAGTGAGGGCGGGCGATGCGCGGGCGGGCGGTGCGCGGGCGCGGCGCTCGTGGTAGCGGCGGCGGACGCGCTGGCGGGCCGGGGCGCGGCCGGACGCGCGCTTCCTGCGCACGCGCGGCCCTCCGCCCGCCACGACGCACTGCACGCTCTTCTAGCTTGTGATGAGGTACCCACCACATGTCTGTAGTCTGTAATAGTCTCTCAATCAAAATAAGCTCGTAACTATCTTTTACCCGGGGCTTCATTCCCGTCATTTTACTAGCTACACTACCCAACTTAGATACCTACCTACACTTCTCATCCTACACTCTATGCCCTACCTAACTCCCATACGCTACACTACCTACCCTATCCTACCTGTGCACGACAGAATCATTACGTAGCCAGAGCGGCGCGCCACCACGCCACGGAATCATAACACAGACGTAGCGGCGCCGCACGCCGTTACTTACCTGTCTTTGTTTGGTTTAAACCTGTTTAAAACGACTATAAACCCGTTAGTAGTAGGGCAACGGAGCCGCGGAGCCACGAGCCCAGACAAGTACAAACACGTTCTCGCGGCTCGGTCGCTCCACGCATCGCCATTGGCCAAACCACGCCCCCCGCATGTCAGCGTCTATAAAACGCCAGACCATGGCGATGCGCATCGTCAGTCAGTCAAAAGGGCAACGCAAATAGAAGACGGCGAGACGAAGGTACGGTACAGACACGGCGCAGATACGGTGCAGGCGCGATATCTGCGCAAACAGACGCGGGGACGATACGGCACAGAGTATTATTATACAAGGTGCTATTTAGTGGAAATAACATTTAATACACCTCCTTTCGGTTTTTTTTCGAATACTAATTCCCTCCTTTTGTATCATTATAATTCCTATGTACAGTCGAGAGCACATCAAGTGTAACATTGCGCTACGAAAGCCGCCACTATTACAAGTGCAATAAAGGCGTGCTCAAGGTCAAACTGTATAGCTTGATGTGCTGTCGACTGTACTTATGTTTGCAATATGTAACCGCTATGTTTGCTATTTAACTACTTTAAAGTACGAATAACATCGAAATACATAAATCAAATCATAATAAGTTAAATTACATCGGATTTTCATTAAAATCATGGATTAAGGCTGATTTACATTGATACAGTAGCTGGCGCCAGCTACTGTATCAATGTAAATCAGCCTTTAAATATCCATATGGACGAAAATTTGAACAGTTTAAAATATATCGCTACGTATCTTTGTTCATACTGTATATAATGCGAGACGCCGCTTGCGCCTACATCTGCTGGCGACGTGGCGGGGGGCGAGGAGCGGCGTGCCTGCGCCGTCCGCTTGCCGCCTTCAGTCACGAACAAAAGATAACGCAAGACGCACGTCGCTTCGTATACAGGATGCGTGACGATATTGAGTTTAATATTGAGTTTTGCGAGTTAATTGAGCAATACCCGAATATCTATGACTACACTAAGACAGGGTACAGTAACAGAAATGTGCAAGACAAAATATGGCAAGAAATAGCAATAAAAGTCGGTGCAACAGGTATGTATTTTATTTAAATTTTAAACATTATGTCTAGTCTGAAACGGAATCGGAGATCGTTGTGTTAGATATGTTGTAAGATATTCCCTGATATGGTAGGGATTTTCTCCCATTAATCGCATGTTAATGTTTGCTCCTATCAAATTATTTCTAAACCGTGGATTTGATTTTTTACCATCACATGTGCGAATTACGTTATGCAACACACACATTGCTTTTATAATATTATCAACATATTCTGGTTTGCAGCAAATAGGCGTGTAAAGTCCACCAAACTTTGACGCTAACATACCATAGGCACATTCTACTGACTTACGTGCCCTTGACAACCTGTTATTATAAGCTCTTCTCTCATTAGTCAATTGATTTCGACCATATGGTCTCATAATATTTCTTTTTAGTGGAAAAGCTTCATCTGCCACAAAATAAAAGGGCACATTCTGTGTTTCTCCAGGCAAAGGTGTAGGGTTCGGTAAATCGAGATCGCCTAGATCCATAGCTTGTCCAAAAGAGCTAACTTGTAATACTCGCCCATCACTATTTCGGCCGTATTCACCAACATCTATAGTTAAAAAGAAACCATCTGCATCTACAACTGCTAACAATACAATAGAGAAATATCCCTTATAATTTATGAAAGTCGAACCCGAGTTGATGGGCGCTGTAATTCTAATATGCTTTCCATCTAAACTCCCAACACAATTCGGTAAATTCCAGAGAGTGTAAAACCGTTCAGCAACTTCTACCCATTTTTGTCGTGTAGGTACAGGCATATATTCCGGCTGTAGGCATTCCCACAAAACGCTAGAGGTTTCATGCACAATTTGCCGGACGGTACTGCCTCCTCTCAATACATATCCAGAAAGTGATGTAAACGAACAGCCATCTGAGTAGTATCTGTAACAAAAATAAAATAGCAATAAGTATGTAACATTTGTGTGTTTAGATTGAGGTGCCACTTTTCGCATCGTAAAGTGGCTAATGGAGTTATTTAGTAGTAGTTTAGAAAATTTTGTAGAACGGATATTGGATTTTGTATTAGAATACTTCAAAAGTTAAATGAATATAAAGGTGGCACCTCAATCTAACTGTTTGCATTGAGGTGCCACTCAGAACTGGGAAAATTATGGATGAAATTTTATCAAAATTTTGTATTATTTTGTAGTACTCCAGAATTCTGGAGTACTACGAAATTTTGATGAAAACTACTAAATAACTCCATTAGCCACTTTACGATGCGAAAAGTGGCACCTCAATCTAAACACACATTGTAACTAATCTCCTTAAATATTTTTCAGCCCAAGAATGTAAAGAACGGTGGAAGAATATTCGATGTAGTTACAGCAAAAACAAGAAAAGGCTAGATTTGCCATCTGGATCAGGTGCAAAGACGATTAAAGAGTACTACCTTTCACCACATCTACATTTTTTAGACAATTACTTGAAGTCCCGACCAACCAAAAGCAATCTAAGCAAATATGATTGCACAGACGGTAATGATAGTGAAGAAGTCGATGAGACACTGTTTACTGGTCAACTAGCTTCTGAAAACACAAATTCGGATTCCATCTCCAATCAATCCACGCCAACACCGCCACTGCTACCACTATTAAATAAATCTAGGGCAATCTCGATAAAAGATGTTAATAAATCAGCACATGAATATTTCAGTCAAAGAGCATTACAAATGAAGACCATACATAGAGCTGAGCCTGAAACAGACAGCGATCTAGCTTTTTTTCAAAGCATGCTTCCAGATATGAAATCAATGACACCAGCCCAAAAACGAAGATTTAAAATGGGCGTTCTCAATTTATCAGAGCAAATTTTAAATGACCCAGTACCTAGTTATCCTAGGACACAGCCGTATTATCCACGAACACCTTCTCGAGAGACAGATTATGATCCTAATGAAGGTGCAACCCAGCAGACTCTTACATCCAGAGCTAATACAAGTCCAGCACCTTCGTTTACCTCGACTCAGCAGACAGCTAAACATACTGCAGCAGCTAACAAAAATCCGGAAACTCAGCTGACTTTGATATCCGGAGAGTATATAAATCCAGCACCACCGGCGGCAGTGGCTGTAATTGAACAAATAGCTGGGCCTTCAAGACACCGAACTTATGATGAGAAAGCTTATTATCAACTCAGCATTTCAGAATATCAGCAAACGCGGACACCGGGAGCTTATGAAAGAGCACAATCCTTAGCACCTCCGGCAACTCCAACTACATTATGTTTGCCAATATTTTCACCAATAACTCCAGCTACACCTCACCCGAATCCAGAGACATCTATCCAATCTCATGAAGACGAAATAAGTGATTTTAATGAGAACTATCCAATGCCTTGAACTTTATTTATAAATGGCTCTTAGTGCGACAGCTAGCTTGAGTAGTCATGTGCTGTCCCTGTCCGCATGCGCTGATTCTGTATTGTGAGATAAGGACAGCACATGATGACAGCTTGACAGATACTCAAATTAACTGTAACACTGAGAGCAATTTATAAATACTAATTGTAGCAAAGATGCTAAACCAAAAACATTTTCAATGAATATTATCTTTTGATTTGTCAATAAAAGTTTGATCTGTAAAAAATTGTTTCACTTACCTTAAAGTTATCAGTAGTCTTTCTTCAGGGCTGATTGGTTTTCTCCAATTTGTAACTTGCTTCCGAAGTCCTTCTCTTACTTTTGACAATACGATATGGTAACATTCCAGTGACATTTTATAAACTGTGCGAAAACGATCAGGATATTCATATAATGTTTCCATTATTTTATAGTACCTGTGCTCTTCTGCATTTCTCCACACTGGATGTATCCAATACCTTCTTGGTCTTTGCTGTAAATTAATAATCTGTAGCAAAGCCAGTGCATCTTCATCTTCGTCTGAAGAGGAATACATGTCTTATCCCGTCAATATCACGCTCTATAATGACTTAACTTGCCGTATCGTCCCCGCGTCTGTTTGCGCAGATATCGCGCCTGCACCGTATCTGCGCCGTGTCTGTACCGTACCTTCGTCTCGCCGTCTTCTATTTGCGTTGCCCCAAACAGTTTTGGGTTTAAAAGTGTCACCACCTTGTTACGTATAAAAAACTCTAAAATTTCTTATGTTTTGTGTAAAAGTTTGTAAATTAATTAAAAATCCATAATCAAGCTATCGAGTCTCAATTTATAATATTTATACAGTCCATTCGCCACACAATCTGGTCCTTCGAAGCCGAATAATCACTAGCAAGATGGTGTTAACACGTAGCCAAAGTGGTGACTCAAGAAGAGAACAGACCCAAGAAGAGCCCTCAGTGACCGCCGGACCGGGTGCCAGCAGCTCGGCACCAGAATCGAGCTCGGTCGGCGTGTCAGGCACAGGCAGCGGCTCTACGACGACTACCAACACCGACACCACGCGAACACATGGTACGCTCAAGCCTGTCGAAACCAGGTCACACCGTTCCACATCTTCAAAAAAGAAGCGCCTCGCAGAGCTGGAGGCCAGAGAACGGCTGGCTGAAATGAAAGTCAAGCAAGCGCAGGCAGAGAGAGAGCTGCAGGAAATACAGCTGCAGCGCATTAGAACCGAAGCTGAGTCGAGTGAAGACGAAGACTTGGAAGACGATCTTGCCTCCGTGAGGATTGGAACGTGGCTCGCGCGACCGGCGCCGCCACCCGGAGGTGAGACTCGGCCGCCGCCACACGACGCCAGCGACGGGAAGAACGGCAGAGACGCAGCGACGGACACCGGCGGCGCCGCGACGGGCGCTCGGCCGCTGCGAGACGGCGACGGCTACGGAGAAAGTGTGTGTGCGAAATCAAAGGGCAATCTCGCGAGTGAAGTGTTGCGCGGTAGTGATAAAGTGATAGACGTAGGGACACTGGCCGCGGCCCTAGCGCAGGTCGCGCGCAGCTCAAGAGAGCCCCCGAGGTACGTCCAGCAGCTACCGATCTTCGACGGAAAACCCGGTGAGTGGATAGCTTATAAGGCCGCGTATTGTGACTCACACACGTATTTTTCATATGTAGAAAATGTTGCTAGGATTAGGATGAGCCTCAGAGGCGCCGCAAAGGAAGCTGTAGGTTGTCTATTGTTTAGTCAATCTAACCCCCAGGTCATTCTAGACGCACTAGAAAGACGTTTCGGTAGACCCGAGGCCTTGATAATGACCGAGTTAGAAAATGTAAAATCGTTACCTAAATTAAATGATAACCCTAGAGACATTTGTATTTTTGCTAGCCGTATTGCAAACACGGTGGGTACGGTAGAAGCACTAAATAGAAATCAATATTTACATAGCCCTGAAATGTCGCGTTGTATCGTTGAGAAGTTGACGCCAATATTAAAAAACAAATTTTATGATTACGCGTCTTGTAAGAAAAGTGAAGATATACCCGTATTAAAGCTATTATCTATGTTCATGAATGAAGAAGCAGACAAGTGTGGCGCGTATGCTCAGCCAGAACGCGGGAACGACGAGTCCAGTGATGTACGACAGCGGCGCAGAGTCGAGCGCACGTTCAACGTAAATAAGGAAACACCGAATGACCAATGCCCGGCATGCAAGCAACACGGCCACAAATTACCCGACTGCAGTAAATATAAACAGCTAGACATTGATACTCGATGGGATATAGCTAAAAACTCGAACATGTGTTTTAGATGCCTACGAAACAGACATAGAAGGTTTACGTGTAAAGCGCCTATTTGTGACGTAAAGGAATGCAACATGAAACATCACAAACTGTTGCACAAAGAGCGTAAAGTTGAGGCGTCACACAAGGTCGCGACGCCGCCGGCGGCGTCGCCGACGCCTGCTGTTATCACACACGAAACCGTCACGTCGGCGCGGGAAAATGTATCAACGACTACGCCTCGGAATCGCCGCGCGTATTTAAAGATAGTACCTGTCACGTTAAGCGGACCACATACAAGTGTAGACACATATGCTTTGTTAGACGATGGGAGTACAGTCACCTTGTTAGACGCGTCAGTAGCAGATATCTCAGGTGCAGATGGGCCGGCGAGCCCTATGTGGATACAAGGCATAGGCACGGAATTAAAGCATGAGCAAAGCCGAACAGTGAGCCTTCACATTCGCGGTAAGCACCATAGTGAGCCACAGAAGATAGAGGCGCGCACCGTGACCAGGCTCGAAATTATGGCGCAAACGGTACATGACCAGGACATAAATAATTGTAGGCATTTAGACGACATAAGTAGCACTCTTGTCTATGATCACGCGAAACCAATGATTTTAATAGGTCAAGATAACTGGCATTTATTAGTAGTCTCAGAAACACGGACAGGTGCGCGTGATCAGCCGGTAGCATCGTACACAAAACTCGGCTGGGTACTGCATGGGTGTCAGTACTCCGTAAATAAAGTCATTGAAACATTTTGTGGTCACATTAAAATTGAAGAAAATCCGGAACCAATAGAAGAAGCTATGAGAAACTTTTTTAAACTAGAGTCGCTAGGTATAGAACCTAAGTTACCTAGAGACGACCCGCAACAGCGAGCCTACCAAACAACTACCTAGGTGCCCTAAAACGCCTAGAAAATCTAGAACGAAAACTAGATAAGAACGAAAACCTTAAGACACAATACTTACAACGCCTCGAAAATTTATTTAATTCAGGTTATGCTGAAAAGGCGCCCGACACATGTACGCCGAATAAAACCTGGTACCTACCTCATTTCCCAGTGGTCAATCCAGCCAAGCCACATAAGCCGCCACGACTGGTGCACGATGCAGCAGCTAAGACAGCGGGTCTGTGCCTAAACGACCTACTGTTATCGGGACCCGACTTATTAAAATCATTGCCCGGTGTTTTAATGCGCTTCCGGCAAAATAAAATAGCTGTGTCAGCCGACATTAAAGAAATGTTTATGAGGATAAAAATAAGAGAAGAAGATCGCGATGCGTTAAGATTTTTATGGCGAGGCGATCATCGAAGTGGACCGCCGGGTGAATATCGCATGACGTCTGTTATATTTGGCGCGACGTCATCCCCATGTACGGCACTATATATAAAGGATCGAAACGCAAGAGACTTTACTGATAAATACCCTGCCGCCGTGTCAGCGATAATAAATAATCATTATATGGACGATTACCTTCAGAGTTTTTCCAGCGAAGAGGAAGCCAAGTTAATAACAACACAAGTAGATTACATTCATAAAAAAGCCAACTTTGTTTTATGCGGTTGGATATCAAACAACAAAAATGTGTTGAATAATAACCTCGCGTCTTCACAAGACATTAAAGTGTTAGGCGGTGACGACACCGAGAAAGCACTAGGACTACGATGGGATACTGAAAAAGACTGCTTCATATTCCGAATTAATAAAAACAAAACGCCTATTGTATTATTAAACAACACACGCCCACCCACCAAACGGGAGGCGCTCAGTATAATTATGTCTGTATTTGACCCACTAGGGATTATTTCACCTATCACTATACCAGCTAAAAGGATACTACAAAACACGTGGAAATACAAAACGGAGTGGGACAAGCCGCTCCCCGAAGATCTACTACCGAAATGGAAAGAGTGGATGAAGTCACTGAGTACTATAGAAACGTTGCTGATCCCACGCTGCTACGATTACGGTGACGTTACCGCTAGGGGTATACATACTTTCGTAGACGCTAGCGAGGAGGCATACGCCGCAGCGGTATACTGGCGAACAGAGAGGTCAGACGGCAGCGTACAAGTGACCCTGGCGGCAGCTAAGAGTAGGGTAGCCCCACTCAAACCCATTTCAATACCTAGGCTGGAGCTGCAAGCCGCACTGTTGGGAGCGCGCCTAGCCCGGACAGTCGTACAAGAACACGACTACGAGGTCAACGACCTCACATACTGGAGCGACTCTACCACCGCTCTAGCCTGGATTCAAGCCGAACCACGCTCATTTAAAACTTTCGTGGCGCATCGTGTGGCTGAAATTGAGGAACTCACTAAGAAAAATGAATGGAGATGGTTACCCTCGAAGGATAACGTGGCAGACGACGCGACACGCAGCACACCGGAACATTTTAACTCGGAACACAGATGGTTTCGCGGCCCCGAGTTCCTTAGAAAAAGTAGAAAAGAATGGCCACAAAATAAAAAGGTCATTGCCCTCACGGACACGGGCGAAGAACGCGTCAAATGTCATGTGATCAACAACACGACAATGAACGATCACCTCCCCAATATTACTCGATTTTCCAAATGGACACGACTGATAAGAACAACTGCAAGACTACTTCAGTTCATTGACCTGTGTAAACCAAGTAAACATACTGTCGAATATAAATGCACTAAGAAAAAGGCAACAAAAGATCCAACATGGAAAAGAACACACAAAAATAAACTCGTTAAAAAATTTACGCAAAATATGATAAATAATAAAACTGTAAACTACATACCTATTCCTGCTTCATATATACAACGCGCCGAGGAACAATGGATAAAGGGATCGCAAGCCGAAAGCTTCTCAAAAGAAATTGCCGCCATTAAGGAAAACAAACCGACGCCCGGCGACAGTCCGTTATCAGTACTAAGTACATACCTAGACAACGCAGGCGTTATACGTTTGCGCGGGAGAATCACAGCGGTACAAGACGTAAATGAAGAAATTAAAAACCCTATTATACTCGAGGGTAAGCACAGGTATACCAAGCTATACATAGCATACGTACATGAAAGTTTACATCATGGCGGGACCGAGATAACAGTAAATGAGATAAGACAGCGTCTTTGGATTACAAAACTACGTCCGTCGGTAAAAAATGTAATTAAGGGCTGTTTATATTGCAAAATAAAAAAGGCGAAGCCTGCTAACCCGTCTACGGGTAACCTACCGTACCCCCGTTTAGCTCATCATGCACGTCCTTTCACTTTCACTGGACTAGATTATTTTGGACCCATATCGGTTTCTGTAGGTAGGCATAAGGAAAAAAGATACGGAGCTTTATTTACCTGTTTAACGTGTCGAGCAATACACATAGAAATAGCTAATTCGCTTAGTGCAGACTCAGCTATCGCAGCCCTTAGGCGATTTATAGCTA